AAACTGGGACGAAAGGAATTTTTTTTTTTTTACTGTAACATGTCTGTAATTTTTTAAAGTGAATATAGGAAATTAAAAATTTCCTCCTCCCCACAATCCACCTTTCAGAGATTACTACTGTTATCAGTTATTAGGTATTTTTACAGACATATTGCTATTATAAATAGATCTCCTGTTCAGTTGTTTTAACAGAAACAAGATCATATTATACATATCTGCCACTACTTTCTTTTTAAACTTAATTTATGATGAATATCTGTGTCAGTAAATCTAGCTCTCCCTCATTTTAAATAGCTGTATAGTGTGTATATGTATACATACATATACATACGTATACATACATACACACGATGCCAAAAAAATGTATACACATTTTAAGAAAGGAAAAAACTATTAAAATTGTCATACAATGAATGATGCTAACATTCATTTGATTAACACCATCTTTGAGTGAATGTCACACTGTACATTGCTACCGTAACTCAATTCCACTTTGAAAAATAATACATAGATAACATCTCTTAAAATGGGTACATTTTTTGGCACCCCCATATATATACTTCTCCCTGTTGGTGTATATTTAGGTTGCTTCCCAGTATTTGCTGTTACAAATAATGCTGTGATCTTAGACCTGAGATAACAGAAACTTCTCAAATATAATAACCTGACGTTCTAACTGAAGCGTATCAACTACTTTTTAAGACAATTAGTATTTTTAAAAGCTGTGTGGTTAAGAAATAGTGGCATTCATTAAGAGTTTGAAGAACGAAATGAACATTGAATTCATGTCATGTGCTTTTCCAAGTCATCTTCATCCTCTGCCTGTGAAGTAGGAGGTAGCATTTTATAGACTGGAAAACTTAATGATCAGAAGAGGGGACAATGTACCCCAAGTTCTGTACTTGTAATTAGTGAATTGGGCTTCAAACCTGGGTTCCCTGACTTGAAATCGAGGACATTGTGCTGCCCCACATTGCCAGTTTGGCTAGACGAAAGGGAATAAAAATAGCTTGTCCCAATTGCATGATTTCTTGGCTCAGGCATAAGCAGCTAAATCTATGGTCTGCTGCTGCTGGATGTGGAATGCGAACAACCATAAAAGGTAGTCCCTACTTAGAGATAATCGGGATGTTAAACATTTTGTTGGGGGGAAAAAGTATGTCGGTTATTATTAAGTTGTTTGTGGAATCTTCCATCATTTCCCTCTCATTGTCAAGCTTTGTCTCTGCCGTTGTCTCTAAGTGGTATTGTGTAGTGCTAACTTCCTTGATTGGTGAATTAGATGATGTCACCCACTGATTTTATTGGGATCCTTTCAAGGATTGAGCGTCCCGGGAAATTGATCCAAGCAGGCTGTCCCCTGTCCCTGCCGAAGCACTTAAAAAATCCAGTCAGCTAGGTCCCTTCACCTTGTTGATGGGAGATCTGTTGGTTATTGGGTTCCCTTGGGGCTGTGCAGAGGTCCAGGGCTCAGACCTTAGAAAGGCCCCTCTGGTGGTTTGCCACCTGTCTGCACTTACTGAGACAGTAGCTGTCCCAGGCTGAGTGGTGCTGTGTCCCTCCCACACTTGTGGCGTGGTGAACTTGGGCTGGGAACCCCATGCCTGTGGGCTTGCTCCCTGCGTGCACCGGCGACCCATTTCCTCTCAGGCCTTCCCACCTCACCAAAGCATTGCTCCCAAACTCGGAGCTCTGAGTTTGAGATCCCCGGCTTCTTGGCCTCTGTGGACTAACCGCTCCCCCTTTGGCTTCCCTCCGAGGCATGTTTGCTTAGTACCCATGCCCCCTTCCTTGGTAGAGACACACACAAACCCCAGCCCTTTTGTTTGGAAAACTGCCCCTTTCATACCCTCAGGCCATGTGGTTTCTCTGGCTCCAGGGCTGGACACAGAAGCCAGGCCTGGCTGAGGCATAGTGCTAGTTTCAGTAATGGGCATGTCACATGACCAAGCCAAGCCTGGGGCTTTGCTGGAACTGCTGGATAAGGTGTTCTCCTTCCTTTAGGGGTGCTAAGTGTGTGTGTGGGAGGGCGGGGGGGGTCTTAGTGCTGCTGGTCCACGCCGACAACTCATGAAAATCCTGCCTAAGGAGAAAGCCGTCACAGAAGAAAGGAAGCTATGAAATGGAGACAAGCTGTTAGCATCATCTCAGCCTTGGGATCGAGCCGTGCCTGAAACCAGAACAATTCCTGGATTTTTCTGTTACTTGAGCAAATTCCTTTTTTTCCTTAAGTCAGTTTGAGTTAGGTTCCTGTCTCTTTTAACTGGAAGACTGTTGAGACACTCCCACTTTCCTCTTCATGTTAAACACATCCTTACTTCCCGCACTTGGGCATGTCACTGATATTTCAGTTCGCCTCTTAGGCTTTTACAAAAGACAGAAAAAATTGTTGACTTCAGGCTGCTCTTTCTCAACCCAACAAAAAGCACCTGCTACTGGCTTGAAATGGAGGTAAGAAATAAAGCAAAATGCAAATTAAGATCTAAAAATATATGTCACATAATAATATTGTCTTAGTCTGTTTGGGGTGCTATAACAAAATACCACAGACTAGGTGGCTTATAAAAACAAATTTAACTGGATGTTAACTAGACTTACTGTGGTGATCATTTTGCGATATATACAGTCATCAAATCATTATGTTGTACACCTGAAACTAATGTAATGTTACATGTCAATGAAATCTCCATTTTAAAAAAAGAAAAGAGGGTTTTAGATGCTGAAAACAAAACCACAATCTCTGCTCATTCCAACACATGAGGGTTTTAAGGGCTAAATATGGCACATTACTGCAGTATTTTTCAAAGAAGTTAAAAGAGCTATAGAGGGTTTTTTTTCAGATTAAAAAAATCAGTGCGGTGCTCATATCACATTTTATATAACATCCCCATATACCGAGGCAGCGTTCCATAATCACAAAACATCTAAATGTTCACATTAAACAATAAATAAAGACTAGCTAACCTCATGCCAGTTCAAGTCAGGTTTTGTCACCAAGTGAGCCTGCTGTGAACTTAAGAAAAAAACTTTGTTTTTAGGGTCTTTTAGTTTTAAAATAAAGTCCCAAGATTCATACATTTTATTTTGTGTCTTACAGAAATAAAATCTCAATGGACAAAGATGTAAAACAATGTTCATTGCAACATCACTTTAAAACAGTTTATTTCTCACAGTTCTGGAAGCTGGAAGTCCAAGATCAGGGTGCCGGTCTGGTCGGGTAAGGGCCCTCTCTGGGTTGCAGACTTCTGGTATCCTCACGTGGTGGAAGGGGGCTGGCGAGCTCTGAGAGCCCTTTTTATCAAGGCACTAAAAAGAGCCCTCATGACCTCAAGGTCATGAGGCCCCACCTCCTAATACCGTTCATTACCGGAGGGGCTCCGTTTCCAAGATGTATTTTGATGTGAGACACATTCAGATCATAGCAGATCTATTTGGGGTAATGGGACCAGTTTAGAGCTCCTAAATAAGGATCAGAGATGAGTAGACCCTGATCAGGTCCCAAGAACAGGTAAGAGAAATTCCTACTGTGCTTCTGTCCCTACAGGGGGCTAATCATGAGCCACATACAGTCTGAGGAGAGCCGAGCACCGTGGTGACCACACATAGCTTTCCTCTTGGCTGGTTCTACGGCTGAAAGTCTTACTCTGCTTACCCATCTGGCACACACATCCAGAACATCTGTGTCATGTAAGCTCAGGCAGAGAAAAGCAGTAACAATGACTTTGCAATGCTGGGTTTTACTTGTAAAATGTTGACAACCCATGGATCCAGGAGCAACGGAAGTTGTAAGGGTGGTAAACGCTCTGTCTTGGGTTTCTGTGTCTCTAAAAATGGCCCCAAAGCTAGCCAGCCCCTTCCACCCAGGGCCTCCAGTAACGTGGGCACAAGGACCCTCACCTCCTGTCCCCAGAGGAGTCATTGGTTGGTTGCTCTCAGCCTCTTGTGACTCTTAACTTTTCTCACTTCCTTACCTCTTTCTGACCTCCGTCCTCTCCTGCCTTGGTGGTGTTGACCAAATGCCCTGGATTTACACCTGCTGCTCTCAACCCATGACTATTCTGCCCAGAGTGACTGGTGGTAGGTAAGCAGCTTCTGTTTTGAAGGGGTTTTTTGTTTCTGACCTGACCTGTGGGAGCCACTGCTGGGGTCAACATCTGAGGGGTTCTCTACCATATGGTGACGACCACAGTAGCGTATGTTCTAAATTATAAAATTAAAGGTTCAGAAAGTGAAGACAGTGATTTGAGAAATGATCTGGATAAGAGAAACCAAGTGCAGAGCCCTTGGCCACTTACAGGCAGGTTGACATTGGGTACATCACTTCGTCCTTCTTGGCATCCATAAAAGAAAGAGTTAAAGAGGTCCCCAACTATGGGCCAAGGGCCGGTGACATCATAATCACCCGGGGCCATTGTTAGAGCCCCGCGTTCCCAGCTTTAGCACAGTTCTGCATCACTCTCCCAGATGGCCGTGTGTGTATTTCTTAGCAAACAACACACATGCTTCTGATGGGCACCTGGGTTGGGGAACTGCTGCGTAGATGACCTATTCTGATGCAAGGAAGTCACTGAGCTGGCTGTTGTCTTAGCCAGGTCTGGGTGGGGCTGGACCTGGTGGGTGTGTGTGTGGGGGGGGGGCTGCCAGACCTCTCCCTCCCAGGGAGCCCAGGGAATCGGAGGGGGAAGAGAAAGTTACTGCCTCTCACACAGTCTGGTACCTTCCTCCCGTTCCTACCACAGGAAGGTAGCGGCACCAGGGCTCTGCTGGTCTAAACCACCCTTCTCCGCTGACCCAGAAGGTCTAAAAATAGAAAAGAGGTCTGGATCCAGCTTCCAGGCTTCGCGGCGGTGGCGGAAAGCAGAGTGCCCTGGGTGAGCTTGTTAACATCAAAGGGACCGAGCTTCCCTGGGGTGAGGAAGGGTTTTCCCTGTCCCTGCTTCAGGCTGCAGTGGTGCAGCCTGTTACCGTGGAGACAGGTAACACTCCCCGGCAGGGCAAGCGTCACTGTTGAGTTGCTGGAGGAACTAGAACTGGGAACCGGGAAAAGCAGGGTCGCTCCTGTGATGACCAGGGGCCCTTCTCCCAAAGATGGGAACAAATGGAGAAATGCAGGTGAGGGTGTGTCACAGGGTTGACAGGTGGTAAGAGAGCGGGTGGGGGAGATGCTAGCTCTGGACCGAGTGAGGAAGATTTAGGGAGCCTGGGGTCTTAAGCATGTGTTCCCTACATGCCAGGCATCGTGTTCGGTGTTGGGGGGCACACCAGGAGACAAGTGATGGGGCTGGTGGGAGGAAGGACCGCAACAACTGGGTGTGAGATGGGGCAGCAATTGGAGGACATTTTCCTCAGTGGGAATTGGGGGCAGCAAATGGGGGTCAGGAAAGACTTCCTGAGTTCTCTTGTCAAACAGAGGGCCAAGGACATTTCTAGAAGCAGGTCCAACTTGAGCAGAGAAGAGCCTGAAACAGCAAGGCCCGTAGAGGGCTGCGAGGAGGCGGCGATCCTAAAGGAATGATAAGCCTTGCAGAGAAGGTTCCACGTGTTTATCCAGGGCACTGAGGAGCCTGACTGGGCCCTGAACAGGCAGAAAGATGAAAAAAGGCACACTGGAAAAATCATTCTGTAAAATGGATTGGATGGGGGCAAAACTAGAGGTTATTTGGCAGTTAAAAATACAAGCGCTGGGGTGGCTTTATCCTGGATAAATATTTAGGAGAGTCCTAGATCCAGCTGTTAGCCAAACAGGAAGTTAACTGAAGATATTTTTGTCCACTAATCAGGGGTACCTCTCTCTTTGACCAAGGACCACTTTTCATGTTCTCTTCCCTTCCTGTCCACTCCCCCAGGGTCATGTGGCCCACCTTTGTCTAAACTCTGGACCTGCCCTGAGTACATTTATTCAACAAACGTTTTCTGAGGGGCTGCTATGTTCTAGGTCTCATTTTATGCAATTCCAGCTGTGAACATCACTTAAGTCGCTGCCCATGTGGAGCTTCTAGTGTGTTTATGGGGGCGGGGAGGTAGAGAGACAGATCAGTAAGTGTATAGAGTGTCCTATGATGAAGCGTGCTGAGGAGGAGACAGCAGGGCAGAGGGGCTGCTGTGTGAGACGCGCTCCTCAGAGAAGACCAAAGGTTTCATTTCAGCAAAGGCCTGAGGGTAAGGACTGTGTCCTATTCGTTCCCGCCCCTCCCCTCCATCCCCCAGTTCCTGCTCTCCCCGGCACCCTGTAAATGTTCACGGAATGAAGGGTCGCTCGAGTGTCACCTGCTGGAGTGCTTGAAGGTGTAGCACATTTTTTATGGCATTCTCCATTTCTATAGCGCTTTGTGTTTTACAAAGCCCTTTCACGTTCTCAATTTCAGAGGCTTCCCTTGAGGCGGAGCTGAAGTAGGCAGGGCAGTTCCTGTTTCCCCGTTCCATTCGCAGACGGAACAAACCGGAGGTCCAGTGCACTTTTCCTCATGCGTTGTTCTGTTCGTTTTCTGCAGCCCAAACCCTCCTCCACCAGCAGTCACAAATCCCCCCAGAATCCAGTCCTGGGGGTCTCGGAATTCATTAAGTGTCGTTAATCACTCACTGAAAGGGAACAGGCTCCGCGGGGTGGCCAGGGTTCCTGAGGCGGTCCTGTTCCAACAGGCTCCGCCACTGGAGCCTCCCAGCCAAGCGCACCGAAGCAAAGCCAGTTTTTCTTGGTGCTTCCCCAAAAGCTAAGCATCCCCTGAATAAAAGATTAAAGACCCAAAAGAGAAAAGCAAGTTGCCGAACCATCATTAGGCTATTTAACTTAATGATGTCATAAGAATGCACTCTCATGTGCAAGGTGCAACTCTGTTGGGAGGTGCTCGCTCTGTTATTTGCCATATATATATACAGAAACCTAAATGAGCTAGCTTAAGCAAAAAGGCAGGGAATTACAAAGAAGGGGGTAACTCATGGAACCCGAGAGCAGAAAGTGAGTCAGTTCTCACAGGTGCCTGGGATCAGTCATTAGAAATTCAAGAACCAAGGCCATGTTCAACCTCCTCTCCCTGTACCTCCCACCTCAAAATATTTATCATCTGCCAGTCCCTGCTCTCACATCAGTTACAACCTAGTGGGAGAGAGACACCGATTTTTAAAAATCACTAATAATGACTATCCTTCTACATGAAGATAAGCGCTCTGAAAGAAAGGACCAGAGTTCTGTGAAAGTTGATATGACACAGAGGAACCTAAGTAAAGTGGGGTTCTGGAGAGGACTTCCCGAGGACTTGACATTGGGGCTGAAATGCCAAGGATGAGCAGGTTCTGGGAGAACGAACGTTCCAGAGCAGAGAGCACCTGCAAAGGCCCTGTGGTTGGTTAAAGGAACTGGGTAGCAGCCCAGGAGCTGAAGGGAGGAGGGGTAGTGGGACAGAGGAGCGGCGTGGGGAAGAGGGAGAGATGGACAGAGGTGGGTGGGCAGCAGCCAGACCAGGTGAGGCCTCACGTGCCAGCGTAAGGATCTTTGTCTTCATCCTAGAAAACGGAAGCCTTTCACAGTTTCAACAAGCAGGAGGGATAAGAGGTGCGACATTGGATTCGGGTCTTTAAATGGCTGCTCTGGTTTTAGTGAGGAGAACTGATTGGATGAGAGAATGGGGGAGCGGGGGCGGGTAGGCCGCTTACGGTCTAGTTTGCCTGGAGAGGTGATGGTGGCCTGGACAGGAAAAATGTTGATAGACACAGATCAGTGGAGAGATTTGAGAGGTCAAATTAACACGATCAGGTGATGGATTGGATATGGGAAATGAGGTGTCCAGAATCATCCCTAGGTTTCTGACTCATAGAAGTAGATGGACGGTGACCTTCTCTAATAAAAAGAGGATAGGTCTGTAGGTTGTGTGGATTCAGTCTTGGAAGTGTTGAGTTTGAGGTGCTCGGGATGGAAATACCCAGTGTCTGGAGTCAGAGGGAGAGGTCTGGGTGGTTGACACACAGTTGGGAGTTGTTGTATGGCTGGTAGTTGAAGCCATGGACAAGGAGGAGAAGGTGGGAAAAGGGAGAGAGACTCAAATGCTGCGGAGGCCGCATGGGGGCAGGGATGCCGGCAGAGCGGAGAGGATGCCAGGAGAGACCGGCCCAGGGAAACCAAGGCCGGACGACCCCTCACTCCACTTTTCTCTGCACACAGGCTTTTCCTGCTCCTGAATGCCCATGGTGGCCCCACAACGCCTAGTTCCGCCTCCCAGAGATTCTGACTGATCCATCGTGGATGAAGTCCACTGCTGATTCAATAAGCTGTGAAGAGAAGGCTGTGGGACTCACCCCTTGGGTGCAGGTGCAGTTCTCAGAAAACTCAGTACTTCTCGCCCCTCCTGCTCAAAATCACTGCAGTCACTTGCTGTCCCCTCTGCCTCATGCAGCCTTCACCCTACTCTTAACAGGGCCACCTCCTTTTCATCCTTCGTGAAGACACTACCACTGACCACCTGACCTATGTAGAGTAGATTCCTCTCCGGATTCCTCTCTATCATGTCATCCCTGCTTACTTCCTTCACAGCACTTTCCACAATTTGTAATTACTATACTTAATTTGTTAACACCAGTCTCCCCTTCTAGAATGTAAGCACTGCAAAGGACAAGAACAATGTCTTGCTTAGTGGCTCTCAGTGGGGGAGGATTGTGCTCCCTGGAGACATCAGACCATGTCTAGAGACATTGTTGGTTATTGCCACTTGTGGGGCAGGAGTGCTACTGGCATCCCAGAGGTCAAGTTCAGGGAGGCTGCTAAGCACCCCACAATGCACAGGGCAGCCTCACCGCAAAGAATTCTCTGGTCCAAAGTGTCAGTCATGCTGAGGGCGAGAAACCTGTGTTACCTTGCTCGCCGTCATGTCCTCAGCACCCAGCACAAGCCTGATTCCTCGTAGGTGTTCAGGAAGTGTGTGTTGGATGAATTAAAGGAGAGTTGAGCTGAATATAAATCCCCGCCCCCCCCCAAGGCTGTTGTCTTTATGCTGCACTTCTCTTTTCTGGAATTCTTTTCCTCCCTAGGAAGTAAGCATTGGGTGTTTTTATAATGGCTACACGAACTAGCCGTGCCTTCCACGGTCAAGGTGATGTGTATTTGCCCCTGGGGGTCGAGGGGGAAATACCTGCCTTGAAGTGAGACTGGGTAAATGACCATTACATCATCTCAGACCTCAGGACTTCGGTTAGTTAACTATCAGAGCAATAGAATAAAACGTCTCATGAACCTGGAGTCCCCATTTTATCGGGGCTCTACAGGGACCCTTCCCGGCGACTGTACAGAAAGAAAAATGGTTTTGGAGGCACTGGCAGCATGGCATCAATGTGCATGCTGGGGCATTGATCGAATCACTTTCTGTTTTGTAGCATGAAGAGAAACACTGACAGAGAGCGAAAGAAGCAATTGAACCAGAAAGATGTCATTGGACTTGGCCAAAATCCAGACGATGGACTACTGGTTACACACGTTAACCAGACGCAGGACTTACTGGTAAAAACCATTGGACTTTAACTGAGTCACAGTGTTTACAAACTATAGTCACAGGATGCAGAATGTGTTAAGCTTGGGATATTTTCTCTCTTCACATAGGATTCCAGGAGTGAAAGAGATTGAGTATTCACCTCTGATCCCCTGCCTTTAGAAGTGACTGAGGTTCTCCATGTTGTTTATAGAAATGATATAGTCTTCTGGGCCACATCATTAAATATTCAGGAGCATGTGAAGAGAGCCTGTGCATGTTATCAAAGCCTGAAGTCTAAGAATTTGATTCTCGAATTCCCCTTCCCAAGACTTATTTTTCTTTTAGGATTCCCTAAAATCTAGATCTAAAAATCAGTTTCAGGAAGTGCTATTGGAGCAAGAGAGTTTGGGCAAGAGAATCAACCTCTAGAGCAGCGGTTCTCAACCTGTGGGTCGCGACCCCTTTAGGGGTCGAATGACCCTTTCACAGGGGTCGCTTAAGACCATCGGGAAACAAAAAGATGTTTACATTACGATTCATAACAGTAGCAAAATTACAGTTATTGAGTAGCAACGAAAATAATTTTATGGTTGGGGGTCACCACAACATGAGGAACTGCATTAAGGGGTCGCGGCATTAGAAAGGTTGAGAACTGCTGCTCTAGAGTAACCAGGACTCTGGTTTTCGGCTGACTCTCAGTGTGTAAATGAGCCGTGTTCCCGAGATGGCGAGTGGATTGTCTAGAACTCAGAATTCATTCTACAACAGAAACGACAGGCCTCAGGGGTTGCCAGGTGCAAGCCTGACCCATAACCGTCTATCTGATCTACACTAGAGTTTGAATATCATACCTTTGAAAGCTACTCAGTCAAAAACAATACAATTTTAATGCTGGCAACTAAACAATCAGGAAAGCAGTACATGTCTTACTTAAGTATTGGCACTCATGGGAAAGCAAGTTTAATTAAAAGGAAATGAGGAAATGTCAGAAGTCTTGAGATTCTGAAGGACTCTTTCAGTGACTTCAGATATTGATGATATGTCTTTATTTCATCTGATTTCATATAAACACGTGACTTCCCAGGTGTACAGGGACCAGTCCTACATTTATCCGCCTCACAAATGAACAACAGTGGGAAAGAGAGAGCAGATCACCCCAACACAAAGATCTATATAAAGCACATCATATGTAAAGCACATCATCACTATGCTCTACAATCAAAACCTAGAATGTTTAATAGTGGATCTTCAAATACTAATAATGCAAAATCCACGTCCAAAATGTGATGGATCATTTCAAATGAAAAGTAAAATGGAAGGTGAATTATAAGTCTGCCGTGCTGCGTTAACTAGGGGGGTGGTTGAGTCGTAAAGGATGAGAAGAGTGACATCTAGTGTTCATATGTGTGGCAGTGTTTCCCTAAGTGAGGGACAGAGCCCATGGTTTGTTTCAGGTGGTGCTGTTCAAGGGCAGGACGTTAATTAGCATAGAATCACAGAATGAGAAAGTTAGCTCTTCAGTCCATTCTCTCTCAATCCGTAATGAAGATAGCAAGAGTTGGTGCTAATTTAAGACAATATATTATAGCTGTTCTGTGTGGGTTTGAATCCTGGCTGTACCACTCACTGGCTGTGTAACTTTGGGCAAATTGCTTCAATTCTCTATGCCTCAGTTTCCTGGTCAGTAAAATGGGGTTAACGATGGCACCTACGTTTTTGAATTTCAATGAGTTAATTTATGGAAAGTACTTGACACATAGTAAGTGCTACTTAAGTGTTTGTTTTAATTACTAGTATTCCCCCCCCCCCCACTGCTTTTAACACTTGGCCATTTCCTTTTAAAAGAGAAAGCAGGCCTCAGGCACAGAACATAAGGCACAGCACGCTGGAATATAATAGCAGCATTTTCTTTTCGTTGTCTTTGTTTTTTTCTGGTTACCTTCCACTGTAGTTGAGAGCTGTTTGTGCAGAAACACTCGAGGCTGTGTTCTGTGCCATAGTCTCACAGTGCCCATTTGAGAGGTGACGAAAGAGCACATGACTTGCTCAGCATCACAGAGCCAGTGAATGGGGACCCCAGTGGACTTGTTTTGTTCCTCGGAGACTGAGGTTGTCTTTGCCGATCATTTATTTAGCACAGGTTCACTGCAGAAATTATAATAGTTTCACAAGCCAATAGCAACAGGATAACATCTCTTAATAAGCCAATAAAGAAATAACCTACTTCAAATGAAGTTCCAGTTGTTTCAGGCAAGAGGAGTTCAAGGGAAATAAAGCCCACATTGAGGTGTACCTTTCTATGGGTGGGCTCTTAGAAGAGAGCTTAGCCAACCAAGAGCTGCTGTCCAGCTGCCAGGGCAAAGGGAACGTTTCTAGTTGCCAGGGCACATTGCTAGGGAATGATGGTGCCATGTTGGGGGGAAAGAGAGTCTCCTTCGTGGGGCTGCAGCGTGGTTTTCGCCACTGCTGGTAAAGAGTCGCCTTAACATGGCGGGACCTAATGCCTGAGGCCTTTGGAGCGCTGTGTAGACCAGCAAAGCGTCCCTTTGCCCAGACCGACCACTCGGTGGGTCCTCACAAACCCTTCGCATTGAAAGGCTCACTGTCTCCGCCATGGCTGCTCCTCTACATGTTCTTGTCTCTGAGGCCCCAGCAGGGCCCGTCGTTAGCTGAGCTACTGAGTGTTTATCGCTGACGGCAGATGTCAGAAAGCATCCTGACGCAGCTTTTTCAATGTAGACAGCTTCGCTTTTAGAGCAAACAGCTTCATTTACGTCATTAAAAGTTGCATTTGAAAGCATATCAGACCAGTCAATTCCCAGCAGTACCACGTGCCTTTCCTCTCTCCCACGCTTCCTCTTCCGGTGTCCTCTGTCCCCTCCAGCGTGGCTCAGTCAGCCACAGCAGATGGGTTTGACCCCGTGTCCACCGCCTGACCCACTGCAGTGAAAGCCCTGACAAGTACAGGCCCATGCAGAACCCCACTTAGGGTTCAGGCAGGCACCCAGGAGCAGGTCTAGACTGGGGTCCCAGCGGGTTGAACCATGCTCAGGCCCATCCACAGTCATCAGATGCTGTGGGGTAGTTTCTTTGCCAGTGGGACTGAGCCGGCCGCCCCTTAGGATGCCATCCTCCACCCTAAGGGAGCATGGCCAGCTCTGGCACCATTTATGGCCCAGCTGTGTCACATGGACTGCAGTGGTTGCACTGGATGCTCACCCAGGCCTCTTGTAGTGTCACACTGCCTGATGGTCACTACACTCCAGCTGGAGGGCACCTTGCTGTTCTCCCCCCTGCACGTCTATGCCTGGAGTGTGTGTTCCCTGGCTCTGGATCTTGGCTCGGAGAGGCCTTCCCCAACCACCACCCCAGCCAAAGTGACCCCCACCCCGCCCCGCCACCTCCACCTAGTCATTTTCCATGACATTTCCCTGCTTCCTCTTCCTAGTAGAACTGCTTGTTTCTGAAATTGTGTCCATTGATTTCATTTCTTCACTGGGCATCCCCCCACATTAGGATGTCAGCTCCAAGGAGGCAAGAACGTTTCTGTCTCGTTCACACTGTAGCTCCAGCACCAGGGACAGTGCCTCGTTCACAGCAGGGCTTAGAGACACCCATTGGAGAAGGGAGGAAATGCCAGCCTCCAGAAGAGGCAAACAAGGCCGACTCGGAGCCTCAAGTCAGCTCTCCCCACCCTCTGGCTCCCAGGAAGCATTGCCAATGTTGAATGCTTGCCAGGAAGGACTTCAGCCCTGCCACGGAGGCCACCACCCACACCCTGAGCTTAGCACTGTGGAAGTGCCACAGGTGTCACTAGGTACAAATCAGGCGTCCGTTTCACGGCCAGACTTCTGAGGACATTCTTCCTCTAAAACTGTCACCCACTGCTCCTGCCTGTGGCCTCTGGATGGACAGCATTAACTCATTTCCTCCTCCATCAGTCAATAAATATTTGTTGGGCGCCCTCAGACTGATAGGGAGGCAGAACTCATCCGCCTGAAATGGTACGCAGAGTGCAAGTGTGGAAATAAACAAAGAGCTCCCCAGTGAGAACAAACAGGCAGTTGACTCAGAGCTTGCACTAGCAAGGGAGGCAGCCACCGTCGCTGTCAGAGGCAGGCAGGAGAGGGGGAAAGCTTACAGCGACAAAAGAGGGCTCAGGTGTGCCCCGGGGGCGGCTGGCGCAGGGGGAAGCTGGAGGCGCATCCTATGGCATTGGTTAGGGGGCATGTTTGGTTTTCTCTGGTTGGTCCTCAGCTGGCAACGGGACAGAAAATAGGAAAGCTGGCCATACTGACTGAGTCCTGCTTTCAGGTAAGACCAGTCAGAGTTGGCAACCCTCGGGCCTCTGCGTGGAGAGAATCTACGGCGTCCTCAGCCTCTCCCTTGCTTTGCACGGTTTTCCGTTTGACTCTGGCTGCTTTTCTTGCAGAGGCTGCAGGACAAGCCCCAGCCGTCAGCTTGGGAAGACTCGGAAGATTGGCTTTCAACTCACAGTTTAAAGTTTGAGAAGCTCACCTTGGCTGACCTGATAAGGCAGGGCACAGCTGTGCTGTAAGTCTGATGCCATCCCCTCACCCCCACCTGCAGGGACACTCCCAGCCCCCTGGGTCCCAGAGGCCCCTTCATAAGCCTTTGCTTCTTCAGGGAGGAGGGCAGCAATATCATGAAGAAGACGCACTTCTCCGCCCAGCTCATCCACCAATTTGAATCAAAGCTGTCTGAGTAAGTACGCTTCTCAGAGTCCCCACGAGCCCAGAGCTCAAAGATGATGTCATGTCAGCAGCCCGAAAGTAGCTTGGTTCACACAACAATCTCTGTGGGACCTTGGGCAGGTCCTTTCCACGTCTAGCCCCAATTTCCTCTTCTCTCAAATAAAGAGGTTGGACCCTATTTTTGTCAGCCTTCTAAAATCTATGGTCCCTTTGGATAAACACATAAAACCTCACAGCCACATTTGACGTGTAATGGTTAAGAGTGACCACTTTTAATGACCAGTGGGCTGGGTTCATAGTTTTGCAAATGAGTGTCAAAATATGCCGGTTTCCCACCAGCTTCTGCTGGCATGGACATACATTCCATCCCAGTTTGTAATCTGATCCATGCTTACTGTTTGCCTGAGGTTTCTTTCAAAGCTAGAATAGTAATTAATAAATTAACATTTATTAATGGGTCAGGAATTCTGAGGGCTGCATGCATTATCCTATGCAAGCTTCACAACAGCTAGAAATAATAGTACGTATTACTCTCGAGTTAGCCAAAAGCCAGTCGCTAAATGATCAATTTGTTCAATTTATCAAAACATGTAAACTGTAACTTTTATAACAATTTTTATTGGGTTGGAAGGTTTAAACGGTTTTCAAAGAATTCTGCAGTATTTCAGTTCATTGGTTTTAATTGTGAATCCAACATTTTAAGGCATGTTTGAGTCTAGTCAGGTAATTGGTCATTTGGCAAATTGATTTTCAAGGGATTGGCTTTCTTTCAGTAAATTGACTCTTGGCAAATGTACTTGGATAGAGTCCATTTATTATCCTCATGTCGGAGATCACAGAACTGGCTCAGAGAGGTTACGACACCTGTCCAAGGTCACACAGCTCATAAATGGCATAGCTGGATCTCGAAGACAAGCATGTGTCACTGTGAAGCTCATGCTCTGAGCCCGAGTCATACTCATGCGTGCCTGTAACTCTGCCCACCACCCACGGCCCTATGACCTCAGAGCCGAAGGCCTTCCCTGCCCTTCTCTAGGTCCCCAGATCCCACCTGCCCATGTGCAGGGATTCAGTTCAATTCAAGTGAGCCTTTAACGTGCGCACCTGTTACAAGCTGATCTCCAAACAGCCACTGGAATGGTTTGTAATAAGGGAAGTTCAGGAAGTTCCCCTGGCTACTTATTGTTTGGAAACAAAGTCTTTTGTTCACCAGCCATGGAAACTGCTGCTGAACTGCCTCAGTTGTGGCTGCACGGCCATCTCCAGGTGACTAGGAGGTCTCACCTGGGAGGACACAGCTCTGAGAATAGCACAGTCCTTAGGAGAACACCCCAACCCTCCACAGACCTGCCCTCACTCAGAACCCACCCCTTGTCCCGCTAAACCATGATCCTTTCTGGTGTGCATAGCGTCAATAGAGAGCAGCCCACACGCGCTCCGTGTGCCTTGCACAGCCCCCTCCGTCCTTTACCCCGGCAGACAAATGCCTTTAGTTTCCTCTTTGCTAGATTCTGCCTTATAGTCTCCCACCGCCTTAGACACATCCATGCCTCCTTCCATGTAAGTGATTGTTGCTCAGTGACAAAGCTGACCTTGGGTGACTGGTCTGTCTGGTGTCTTGACAGAGCCATTGAACTCTATCAACAGAGAATTCAGTGGCTCGGAGAAAACAGCAGAAAGGTAATTGACAGCGGGGTGGTCATTCTTTGCCCTGTTTCACTCTTTTCCTCTGTATTTGTTAGAACCCTTTCAGTTGCAAATGATAGACCTCCAACTGAAATTGGCTTTAGCTAAAAAAAGGAATTTCTTGACCTGCATAAATGAAAAACCAAAGAACGCAGACATAGCTGTGTCCGGGGACTCGAACGATGTCATCTTTTTGTCTCTGGGCCCTGCTTTCCTGAGTTGGTTTTATTCTCTGGAAGACTGTCCCCAGGCTTGGGAAGATGGCCATCAGCAGCTCTAAGCTCACATGTCACCAGCTAGAGTGACATGTCAGAAGGGACCTCACCTCCATCTCTCAGTGCATCTTCCCAGGACCTGGGATTGACCTTGGCTGGGCTTGTTTAGACCAGTGTCCATCACCAAGGGGATGAGCTGTACTGACCGGCTGGACTCGCTCCAGCTCCTGCTCGCTCCTGAGGAAAAGCAGGGGGTGGGGAGAGGGGCGGACTGGGTACCCTCCCCCCAACCCCAAACCTCGTGGACTGAGAGAGGGAGACAGATGGGTACACGTGGAAAGCCAGTGTTGTTACCAGCAGAGGAAACAGATCCCAGGCAGGTGAGGACAGCAGGCGTCCCCTCGGCCATTTCACCTCAGACCCATAATAAGACGTGTCAGACTGAGGCTGACCACCTGCACATAACTTTTCTTGAAAGTTTGATTAAAAGCCTTCCTCAGACCCAGAGGGTAGAAGAGTGATCGTGGGCAAATTAACCTTTGATTTGCTTTCTTATTTGTTTTAGCCTATTTTCCTCCATCGATTACTCTTCTGGCTCACCGTTTGCTTTCACCTTAGGCATTTTCTGGAGAGATTTGGGTTGTCATGACTGGGAAGGGAGGTTGCCAGGGAGGCTGCTAAATATCCTACAACACACGGGCCAGGTCCTCACAGTGGAGGACCGTCTGGCCTGAAATGTCAGTAGCGCAGAGGGTGACAAACCCTGGTGTAGATACAGGGGAGAAAGGAAGGCGGGGCACTCCTTACCCAGTGCTTCTCAAACATCACCATGCAGCCAAACCCCCTGGTTTGGGGGTGAGGGAGCCCTGTTAAAATGCAGACTCTGATTAGGTAAGCCTGGAGCAGGACCTGAGATTCTGTGTCTACAAGAGCCCAGGCCAAGGTACTGCTGTCAGCCCATGGCCGACACCTGCAGGAATAGGCTCCCAAGGCGCCCCAATATTTAGTCTTCAGGGTGGAGGAGGGTCTGTGGGGCAAAGAAGAGTAAGGAGGACCGGCCAGTCAGTGAAGGAAAGACAGGAGAAGTGATGTCGGAAAGACCATACACTCACCGTTTCAGCGTGTTCAAACTGCGTCCTGTGCCACTCAGTTCCAGAAAGTTAAGATTTGACCATTGGGTTTGGCAAGAGTGAGGCCATTGATCACCTTGATAAATGTGGCTTCAGAGTGGGGCGGTGACTGCCTAAAGTGAGTGAGTCTCAGAGAAGTGGGGGGTAAGGAAGCGTTGCTGAAATGGGAAGCAGAGAAATAGAGGGGCAGCAAGAGGAGAGATGGGTCCTAAAACTGTATTTCCTCGTGAAGACGGGCGCTATTACGTCCTGTTTGTACGGTGATGGAAACGGTGCAGTGTGCAGGGCATGCAGGAGCTGATGGGAGGAGAAGGGATGGTTAGAGAAGCAAAGTCCCTATTTGGTGAGAGAAGGTCCAGTCATGCCCGTCAAAGCGGTGGCCTTAGGGCTTTGAGAGTTGGCTTCAGATACTGGTGACAGGAAAAAGGCAAAACGTGTGGGCAGCAGGTTAGGTAGGTTGGTGAATTCTGTGTAGAAAGACTGAAAAAAAAAAACCCCTTCGATTTGTTTGTTTTCTTTGGGAATTGGAAGCCAAATCACTTGCCGAGAGAGTGCAGAAAGGGAGCGTTGGAGGTGTGAGAGGTGTAAAATACCCATCCCTGAGAGCAGGGAAGTGAATTGAATAGGAAAATCGCATCTCCAGTGAAGCTGGATTTAAGGCAGAAAGCATCAAATGGGACCAACTGTCCCTAGGGAACCATCCATTTCACATGAATGAACATTCGGTTCACAGTGCAGCTGTAACAGAATGAATAGTGTTGTGCAGAATCAACCAGCATTGACGCGGAGATGGCAGTAGCTGTTATTAGGAACATAATGAGAAACTCCCAGAAATACCAGGGCCGCCAGCGAGCTGAGCACGTCCGCCTTAGATTGTAGAGCAGGCAGGAAATAAACAAGGCTGTAGAGACATGCCGTAAGATACGCTGATGTGATGCGGTATCGGGCCTGACCTTGTGCAAAGGATGCTTTTCTGCAGTCTGCAGGTGTTCTGTAATGGACATGTAGTCATAAGAGTTAACAGTAAATATGACGGAAAAAATGTAAAATGCAAGTGGCCCTAGATTGGGAGCAGGCAATACCCAGAGCGAAGGTCAGGACCTGGGTTTTGCTTTTCCCTCTGTGCACTGGGCTGGCCTGCCTTCTGCTGCTGCTCGCTGAGGTGGGGGTGGTTGGGCCTTCCGTCATGCGGGGCTTCCCGTGGAGGGCCTAAGAGCACTGCAGACTAGTTATTTCATGCTCTCTTGGGTTTTAGGTATTTGGCCTCATCAAGGGGGCCAAAGTCGGCCTCCTCATTGATGTGTCAGCTGTCACCAGCAGCCCTCAGAAAGAGGAGTTCCAAAACGATGTCCTGGTAAGTCTCTGGGCAGGTGCAGAGATGGATCTGGAACCAACCCCCCGCCCCTCCCTTTGTGCTGGCTAACTGGCTTTGTTTATAGCAAGTGGAAATGGGGTGTTTTACAAAGAACAATTCACACTTAATTAGCACCTACTGTGAAAGAAATATGTTGAGTTCCACGAAACTCAGTGCTTTCTGGTTATGTGTGAGCTTCTAGTATTCTCACCACAGCAGTCCCTGCTAACTTGCCTTTGTCTCCAATGCCCCCCCCTCACCCCACCCCTTGTTCCTGGAAAGCATGAGCCTTCCTGGCCCAGCTGGCTTCCTTTAGTGTCTCCATCACAGAGAAACTAAGAGCTGCAGAGGCAGATGACTGGGGTCGAACCCCCGCCACCTCCACCACTCATGGGCTCTGTGACCATGTTACCTAATCTCTCTGTGACTTGGTCACCTCATCTGTAAAATGGGGGTGATAACAGTGGTCTCTCACAGGACTGCCAGAGGAAAAAAGGAGTTTACTCAAGTTAAGTGCTCGGTACAGAGTATGACATAGAAAAAACCTCAGTGGTGTCTGTAAAGTGACATGGAGGGGCTATTTTCTTGTGGAACCTCTAGAGCTTTGGATGGGGACCTTAGCAGCAATAGCCAATTCAAAGATTTTGTAGGGCTCAATATGGGCCAGTTACCCAGACTTGTCCACTGTTCCTGGTCTTCACAGGTGTCAGGGAACAGTTTTCGGGGCAGTGTCCCCTTCTAGACAAGTCGCGCTTCCAAAGATCCCCCAGGTGGGCTGGTCTAATATGAGCCAACACAAGGCTTGTGTCGGTGGCGCGCAGGTGGAATCTCTAGCTGGGAAAAGAAGAGGGGGTCGTTATCCCATGGCTGCAGCTGAGAGCATCCCACAGGCTGGTGGCGTGCCCATTGCTCCACCCCCAGCTCGCGTGCCTGGGAAAGAAACCACTGCCCCCGCCCCTGTGACCAGCGCCCACTGAGATGGGGAACTGGCACGCACATCCACCCCCACCCCGCCCCAGCGTCTTGCAGCCCTAAGGAGCTGCTCTAGAGGGGAACTGCAGGCTGCACTCTGTGGGGGCGAGGGCGCGAAACCTCCCGGGTCCACCTACCGGGTCCGCAGGCTGAAGGCTCGTGGTCCGCCCCCACCACACACAGGACCGTGGGGTGGTCGGGAAGCACATGTCAGCTGGGGGCACTGAGCTGAGCCTCAAGCTACCCTGTGTCGGCACGGTTCAGCCTGGAGGGGCCGGCCGCAGGCCTGAGAGGCGAAGCCAGGCTCCACGTGGCCCCGGCTCTGGGACCAGTGATGTCCTTTGTCCCCCAGAGCCTCATTGATGAGCAGCTGAGCCACAAGGAGAAGCTGTATGTCCTGTCCTTTGGCACCACGACCAGCGCCCTTTGGCCGGACCCCGTGGAAGTCAGCACCTCCACGTGAGTGACTGCCCCGCCCTGTCTTGGATGTCTGTCTGTTCATTTTCCTTCCCCGAGTGTTAGCATCTTTCTCGCACGATTTAAACGCACACCCAAGACCCCATCAGATGAGTGCAAAGAGACAATTCGCAAAAGCAGACAGAGGCACCGGGAGCCAATGAACAACCCACCAAATGAAAAGACTCGACAACCCCGAGACACCATTTTTATCCAGCAAACTAGCAAAGATAGTTTTATTATTATGAAAATAATACATGCTCATCGGCAAAAGTTCACACAGAATGAAAGGACCAGAGCAAATGCGGCCCCTCTCACCTCCAGCAGCAGTTCCCTCCACCCACGTCCACAGCCCGTCACATACATGCATCTGTGCTTAGCCTCTTGTATTGAAACAAACAGCACAGCACTCTGCCCTGGCCTTGGCTTTGCACCTGGCCTTGCACCTGGCCATTCTCTCAGTACATTACAGGTCCTCCTCGTTTTGTGTAGTTTGGGCGTCTTTGGGAGTGGCAGGGGGAGAAGGGAGATGTGTAAGAGTTTCTACTTGTTATGCCAGTAAGTAGAAATTTCTTTTCCAGGAAGAGAATATCCTTGATCACCCACCATGGGTTAGGTACCATGCTAAGCACTTCGCATGTACTGTCTTATTTACTATTTGTAGCCATCACATGGAAGAGGATTTTAATCCCCATTTTGCAGATGGGGAAACTGGGGCTCAGGTTAGGGAACATCCCCAAAGCGACAGAGCCAGGCTTGGATTCCAAAGCTCGGAACAGTCCAGGGAAACCCATGCGCTTGGACTTGAGGGACTGAGGTCCCCTTGTACAGCACTAGCTGGAAAGGGAAACCTGTCCAGGTAGAGAGTGCTCAGTTCCAGCAGTGCTGGCTTTGACTCCTGCCTGTGACAGTTGCTGGGTGACCTTGACCAGTCCTTCAGCTTGCTCATGAGCAGAATGAGGCTGAGGATACCTGCTACCCCTCGCTGAGTCCTGAAGATGAAATGAAAAATAAGTACCTGGCATGTGGCATGTACTCAGGGAATGAGAGCTTTTTTCACTGTGATTTACACCGTGGTTACAAGCCCTGATCTCCAGGATGTCAGACCTGGAAGTGACCTGGAGATCATCTAGCCAAGAGTTGCTCAACTCCAGTCCATCCTGACTTTCCTTGTGATTTTTGACAAAAAAGACATTTTTGTCATATCTCTGCCACGTATACTATTATTGATTTTTCTTCATATCGGCCCTGTTAGTTGTTGAAGGAAACTGTCAGTACGTGACTGAGAAGCCCATATCACTTGCCGTAATTAGAAAGCAGCCAAAAAATGAATACAATGAAAGCAAACGAAACAGTGATGTTATCTTCCAGCTTGAAACCTGTTGGCTAGCGAAGGCGCTAGGCCTCAATTTGTTCCTTCTTTGTTTAAAAAGAAGACAATAATAATGAAAGAGACTTTTAGCAGCACGATGAGTTTTATTTGTTTGTTTTGGTCAGACTGAAAGAGAACTGGAAAGAGCAGAGCTCGCACTAGAACCATGTGACATATTGAACCAGGAAAACATTGTGTTGAGCCATTGTCCCTGTTCCCCAGTGGTGTGTCTTCCAGTCCGCATGGGATGTAGCCCCACAGCCGCGTGCCTTTGCTTAGCTCCCTCTTAGAGTTGGGGGGTTTCCTCTGTGCTTCAGGTGAGGGTTGCCCCCTGAAGAGTTGGGGGCAGGGTGGGGAAGAAGGGACTCAGGCAGAGCTGCCAGAAGCTCAGACCCTAGCGTCAGACCTGGTTTGAAATCTGTGTTGCCAGTTGCTTCCAGTATCACCTTGGCAAGTCCTAGCTCTGCACCTCAGTGTCCTCATCTATAAAATGCGAATAAGGCACCCACCTTAGAAATATCGTTAGGCTTCAGTGAGCTCGCATTTGTCCTGGGCCTGGCGCCCAGGAAGGGTGCTGGTGTCTCCATTATGTCTCCCCAGCCTCCAGGAGCTCACGCTCTGGGTCAAGAACCTGAAGCCCGATGGAGGCAGCAACCTGCTACAAGCCCTGAGGAAAATCTTCATGCTTGAGGGGCTGAATTCTCTGGTGACCATCCTGGGGAGCTGGTAGGTCTCCTTTCCCATGCGGGTAGCAGGCGACATGAAGGGGACTGGAGAGCTCATCAAGCGTGACTCTTCACATGCGCTTCATGGAGGGACTGTTTCCACAGGCTGTCTGTCTATAGGTGGTGGGGCAGGGCCACTAGGGCCGGCCAGGCCCGCAGTCCCCTCCGCCCTGCACCTTACATGGATGACAGGGGCACAGGTGGTGAGCTAGACTCAGTGGATGACCCATTTTGCTCTGGAGTGTCCTCATGCTGGGGCGCCCCCTTCTCTTCTTCCGTCTGCTCCCCAGCCCAGACCAGCCTGCTGAAATCCTGTCTGACTACATCCAACAGTCCACCATGGGCAGGGGCCTCCTCACCCACATCGTCACCTACAAATGCGCCAATCAGTTGCCCCCGGTAAGTACCTGAGATTCCCCAAGGCTTCCCTTGGATTGGCCATAGCGCGCGGGGCCAGCCTGTGAGGCTGCCCGCATGGACAGGCCCCACACTGTGGACCAGAACGCGACTCTCCTTGTGCCTAGTGCTCTCTTTGGGAAGAGGGGAAGTGGTGGGCAGCTGGGAGGTTCGGTCAAGGAGAAAGCTTGTTAGAGTCTTGCATTGCCCTGGGGAGGGCTGACCCTGTCGCCACCGCACAGGCTGTCCTGAAGAACCTTGCAGAAGCTGTCGGGGGCCGCTACCACTGTTATAGCCCGGAAGCGGAGGTAAGCCTGCTGCCCCTCCCCTCCCTGCCTGCCTCCAAGGTTGTGCCCGGGGATCTGGACCAGGGCAGGTCGTGCTGTGCATTTGCTTCCCAGCCCTCTCCCAGGCTCAGTGGGTTCATACAGGTCCAGTCAGGTTACAGTGAACATGTGGGAAGAATAGGGACGTGAAGTCACAAGAGATCCTTTGGTCAGTGTGTCTGATGAGCTGAAGTCACAAGAGATCCTTTGGTCAGTGTGTCTGATGAGCTGGTCACACGCCTGTGAGCCCAGAGACCCTTTTCAGCCCAGCAGGTAGGGTCCTGCGTCTCTCTCCAGTCGCCATCAATGTGGCTCCCCATCTCTGCTCCCACCAAAGCTTCGAGTCTGAATGAGTTGCCTCAGTTCTGTCTCCTGGGTGGACCCCCGCTCCTGCAGGGGACCCGCCACAACCAGTTCCAAATGAGCAGTCAGTTTCCTACCAATCCACCCGTTAGCAGCCTCACCCCAGTTAATGATAGCATCACACAGCCCGTGTCCACAATGGAGGTAACAATTAGCAAACGTGTGTGGAGGCCCACGTGGCAGGCTGAGACCCAGCCGTCTGTTCAGCTAACAGGCTGGGTCTTTCCTGCTAACCTTTAAGAGCTACGTGTCAATGAATATTTGCATCTCACACGTTCAAGTGTCACAAAGTCTAGCATTTCACACGAGGGAGCCAAGGTCAGGCACCGTTCTCCTCTCGTTTACCTCATTTCCCAGACTATTTGTAGGGGTCACAGACTGCAGGGTAGGAAGGTACAGTAAATGAGTGAAACTGGGCTGCTTTAAAAAGTGTTTCATCTTGGGATGACCATTTAGCTCAGTTGGCTAGAGCGTGGTGCTGATAACACCAAGGTTGCCCGTTCGATTCCCACATGGGCCACTGTGAGCTGTTCCCTCCTCACAAGAGTCAAGTAAACCATTGTAGCATGAAAGCAATGTGTAACCAGTGACTATGGCTGTTCCCCAATAAAATTTTAAAAAGAAAGAAAGAAAAGAACTATTTCACCTTAAAAACCTGCGGCCCTCTTGGCCTCTCTGTTGTTTTTTACTCTTGATGGAGATATTGATACAACAGATTTCATTGTCTTCTTTAATATGAGCAAAACAGCAGTGCAAGAATGATAGAAAATTACAACTGACTCTGACGGAGGGCGGGGGGGGGGCCAACAGAGAGTGGTCGGAGCCGGGGTAACCGAGATGGCATGTGGCTCATCTAAAGAGGCGCCTCTCTTAGCCCCAGCCAATCGCTGCTCTATGAATGTGACCCCAGGATGCCAGGTTTTCCGATTTTTCAAGAAGAGCCAGAAATCTGGATTATTTTGTCTGTGTGATTCCTTTACATTTAAAAAAAATTGAGGTGAAATTCACAAGAGATAAACATTTTAAAGTGAACAATTAGTGGTATTTAGTACATTTACAATGTTGTGCAACCACCACCTCTATCTAGTTCCAAAGCATTCTCATCACCCCAAAAGGAAACCCCATAACCTCCTAAGCAGCCACTCCCTGGTCCCTCCCCGCCACCTGCCCCATGGCCCCTGGCAAGCAGTCTGCTTTCTGTCTGTATGGATTTACTTAGTGTGGATATTTCATTTCAGTGGAATCATATTCCTTTCTTTCAGTGAGCATAATGTTTTTGAGGGTCATCTATATTGTGGCAGGTATCAGTACTTCATTCTTATTTATGGTTGAATAATATTCCATTTTCTGGATATACTGCATTTTGTTTATCCAGTCATCAGTTGATGGGCCTTTGGGTTGTTTCCACCTTTTGGCTATTGTGAGCTGCTGTAAACATGGGTGTACATGGATCTGAGTCCGTTTTCCAGGATTTGGGGTACATACCTAGGAGTGGCACTGCTTGGTCACGGGGTAGTTGGGTTTCATTTTTTTGAGGAGCCACCAAACTGCTTTCCACACCGTTTGACATCCTCACCAGCAAGGTACCGGAGTTGGGATTCTCAGCTTCCTCACCAGCACTTGTTATGGCCCTTTAAAAATCACTATTATGGCCCTTTGAGCGTCTTGACCCTTGCCTTTGCTCAGGGCCCACTCCAAACTCTTTGGAGTGTATTTTTTCTCCTAATAATGCCACCTTGAGCCTTGAGCCGGGTTTCTTGATGCTCTTCCCACTCCTACTTTTTTGGAATGTACTATCTCTTCTAATAAACTTTCTTTGCCACTTTAAAAAATAATAATAAAAATTATTATTATTATTGGCATCTTAGAGGGTGTAAAGTGTTCCTTTACATTTTGGGGTTAGACAACCCTTCAGTTGTATAAAACCACTGCAGGCCAGTGCTGACCAATGCAACATGACATGTCTGTCCCACACATGCACCCCAGTTTGTAACGTCTGGTTTAAAGAGCCTGTCACTCAGCTTTAGGAATTGACGTGACCGTTTGCCTTCTCCTGTCTTGGCTGCAACCGGTAGCTAAGTGACTCCTGGAGGGCTGATTCCTCCCACCATCCCCAGATCTATACCAGCCGGGATGTGGACCAGCTCCTGGCCGAAATCCAGAAGGCCCAGAGCCTCCTAGGCCACGTCCAAGCCCTGCACCCCAGCACCCCGTGCCAGGAGCTCACCAGCCTGATGAAGGAGGTAGGTGGTGTGAGCAAAGCTTCTGGGACCTTCTCCCGGAGGCACTCAGTTGGCCTCACTCCATTCTCTTTTGTCACCTGTCACTCAGATGGCAGGTCTGCAGAGCCCCCACTCCTGAAAGTAAAACAAGGCAAAATGTCCTCCACTGTACCCCATCACTCAGAGCTGGGTGAGCCGGGCCGGCCTTCCACGGTGCCAGAGGGTCCTGGTGGACTTTCCACCTGAAAAATGTATTTCAGAGAAAGGCTGGCAGGCTCCTGCCACCTCCTCCACCCGCCCCACCCTCCTCCCCAGTTTGGAGAATGATGAAAACCTCAACCACACAGAGTAGGCTCTCCCGGCCCAGCCCATCAGGACAAATGCCCCTGCTTGTTGTGAGTGTTAATTTAACACTGGCAGCATAACTCAGCCAGCTTACGGACACAAGCACCATAAAAGCTACGTGCTGTTTAGACCGCACAGAAAGCTTAGCTGTGGACAGAGGAGAACTGGGGCTGCATTTGTGAAAGAGACGCGGCACCTAGACTGGTGTCTTCAACTTTAGTTCCAGCTCCTCTACTCATTCTACGTAATCACAGTGGCAATTAGTGTTATAATAGTCCTCATTTCCCGTGTGCTCAGTATAAGGCACAATGCTTCATTCTCTAAATATTTTGTCTGCAACAACGGTCTGTGGTAGGTAGATTATCAACCCCATTTTACAGATGAGCAAACTGAAGTTAAGGGGTCAAATAATTTGCCTGCGATCACAGCAGTAGAAATCGATTGGGTCTGAGTTGAACCCAGGCCTGTCTGAGGCCAGAACCTGAGGCCAGGAGTTTCCCTAAGTGAGAGGCATACACTACTTGTGGTTTGCAAGGTGACTGTACAGTGATATATTTAAAACGAGCTCATTATGGTAGTGATAGATCTTTCTAAAATTATTTAAGTATAAAAAAGTCCATTTTTAAAACTAAATCCAATTGAATAGTCAAAGGCTTTAATGTTACATTTTTTAAAAATTAAGTAAATAACAGTGCAGTGGCCCTCCGATACAGCAAAATTCAGGAAGGGGGTGCTGAGATGTCAGAATTTGGGGAATTGCTGTTCTGCTTTACTGCTACACGAGCTGCGTGATCTAACCTGTCAGAGCCTCAGGTTTTCAGTTTATAAATGTTGGCCGGGAGGAGCGCGGCTAGGTCAGGGTTTCTGAAATGATTTGGTGCAGAACTTCTTGTTCCCCGAAGCCTTGTGTTTTGAGCCTGGGAAGGGCCACCTGTCATCTTGGACTCCAAGGTGCTGATCTTAATGGTGAGGGTGGGGAGGAGGCCAGGAAGGTGGGCAAATGGAAGAGGAAGTGACTTCCTAGGGGCATCTCCCTCTGTCCCTGGCAATTCTAGAACTCTACAGAGAAAGGGATGGGAATGATGGAACGGGAAGGCAAAACTGCCTGTAATATACCAGGTAATGTTTTAGGATGCTCCCCATGGGGGAGCTGGGTAGGTGTGGGAGACGGAGGGCATTGCAGCTCTAAAATATGATTATGTAATGAGGCTTTTCACTTAACTTAGATTTCCACAGAGATGGCCAGAGGGCCACTCACAAGCCTCCTGCCTAAACCGCCAAAGCATGAAGCTCCCCTCACAATTGAGTTCCCAAACCTGGAGAAGACTTCTGCAGAGTGGCTAAAGGTCAATGGCCTAAAAGGTAAGCCCCCCAAAGAGGGCAGAACTTGGGCCTCAGGTCACCCATAAAAGGCATGAACCCCCTGGGGCTCCGTGAGTGGTGCCCCAAACTCCACTCCATTTTTCCAGCCAAGAAGCTCAGCCTCTATCAGGTTCTGGCCCCCAACGCATTCCCTCCCGTGGAGGAATTTGTGCCTATTCTCCAGAAAACGGTCTCGTCAACTATCCACAAGGTAACGCAGACTCAGGGTCCTCTCCGTCCTCTGCAGGGGAGCTCCTTTGTGGCATTTCCCTTCTTAATGTTCAGGAGAAAAGAGTCGTAGGCAGAGCCGGGGGCCTGGATGGGCTGCAGGCTTTGTGCCCATCAGAAAATGCAACTTGGGAGTTGAGGCAAGAGGGAGTAAATTGGGTACCGTGGTCACCTCCCCCAGGAGGGTTGTCCCCCACCCCACTCAGAACACACTGTCTCTGTGTCCTCACTGTACCTGTACAGACTTCAGCTGTAGTAGAATGACTATGGGGACAGAGTGACATGGATATGACAACTTGGTGGGCGATGGAAGAACGAGAGGAACAAATTTGATTTTCAGTGTCATGAAGGCCCATCTGGGTTCCCGAACCTCAGAACCCACGGCCAATATGTGTTAAGGCCTCTGACTATTATTCCATAAACCTCCAGCCAGATCTTGTAATAGGCTCCCGTGTTCAGAGGAGCCTCCCAAGATGGCAGCCTGATGTGCCGTCAGGCATGGTTCCCTGAGGGGACCACTGTTCTGAACGCCTTCTACTTCCAGCTCCAGACGGGGCAGCGACCTCATGGTCGGGGAGGTGTCATCTGACCCCAGATGTGGTCAGAGCCCATTTCCCTCTCATACATCTGATTCCGAGAGCCCAGTGTCCAAATTAAACTTAAAACCTTTCTGCATCTGTCCACATGTGCATCTGTCCACCTGCTCCCCCTCCTGGCCACCCCTGAGTGCAGAAGGCAATGGTACAATTTCAGTGGCATGATGGGACAGTGAAGAATATTCACGTGGACCCGCCCTTCCTCTATGAGTACCAGGTCAGTGATGGGTCTGACCAGTCAGAATATGGGGTATGGGAAGAGGGGATGGGAGGAAGGCACCAGGGAACGTGGAGACGGCAAGCCGTTAGCGGCACTGTCATCAACAGAGTCTGTGGTCCCACCCACAGGCACCTCTTGAGCTTTTTCCACCCTTGCCCCCAGCTGGGACCCGGACGCCTTAAGCAAAAGCCTTTTGGGCTTTTTTATGATCTTTTGGGGCAAGACCTACCTCCTCCCCCTTAGGGGGCAATGGAATACTTTGCTCTTTCCTTCCTGATCTTGGGGCAGGAATGGCTTGGATGCCCATGGCCTTGACACACCACTCCCAGAAGCCAACTGGGGTACACCTCCTGCTCTCACAAACCCCTTCATCGTCCCCCTTCTGTGCTGTCGCTCACTCTGTGTGGCCCATGGGTTTGCAGAAACAGCTCGGCAGAGCCCTGCGGACGTTTGAGAGGCGGATTGAGTGGCTGTCCCTGGCCAGCAGAAGAATCTGGGGCACTGTCTGTGAAAAAAGGTACCTCCCCCAAGCAGCGTTCTTGTTCCTCATGGGTTTGGTGTGTGACACAGTACTCAGCCAACCCATGGAAGCCCTGTTGGTAGCATGAGAAGCCGTCACTTAGATTAAGCATCCGCAATCACTCAGCAGAACCCCTGGGAGCAAAAGTCACACCACCATCATCACCACCAATAATACTGTCATTGTGCTACTCAGGAGTCTTTCAGTTAGAAGCAACAGAAACTAAATGCAAATTGGCTGAAACAAAGCAGGGATGTCTAGTTAAGGTAACTGAAAATTCCAGAATAGGCTGGGGAGATCCGGAGACTCGTGCCTGTCAGGAATCGGGCCCCATCTCTCAGCTCCGCTTTCTGCTCTGTTGGCTTTGTTTTCAGGCAGGCTTTCCCCTCCAGGTGGCAAGATAGCCACCTGAAGCTCCCAACCTGCTTTGGACCAGCTTGGCACTTCCAGAGCTTGGGGCCAGGGCCCACCCATAACGCCTCCCCCTAGCCAGGGTGGCCTGGTGTTCTGATTGCTGAGGGTCAAATGCCCCCTCTCAGAGTCAGCTCCACCCAAAACAAATGGACTGATAGAATCTGAGGTGATTCCCCAGGGAAAATCAGGGTGCTGTTGCCAGAGGAGGTGACGGATGCTGAGTAGGGAGAAACAGTGGGTGTCCGTGATAGCCACTAATTTCACTCCGTACCTTATTTGGTATGTTTCCCTTGCAAAGTAGTATACTTCGTAATACTGTGGATCTATTTTATCCTTCAATTCTTAACACAACCCTAGGAGGAGTCTCATTATAAATAGTTTATAGTTAAATATACCAAGGATCAGAGAGGTTTGTGACTTGCCTAAAGCCACCCAGGAAGTGGGACTTAAACCACGGTCTGCTGACCGAATCCAGTGGATTTTCTTCTGCTATCCATAGCTGTCTCAAAATCAGACTGGAGGGAGGAGGGGGAATATGAGATTTGAATGGGACTAGAGACCTTAAAACAGAGAGGAAAGAAAAAAGATACAAACATTTCCCCAGTGGCCCAGGTAGGAGCAATTCCCCATCTAACTTGCTTACCTTGTTTCTGGTTTTCCTTTAAAGACCCAAACCTGTAATAATATTGAATGCTAGTGCTTTAAAACAAGGAAATGTGTGAAAACCATTACACACAGCCCCTGCCCCTTAAACATCTCCACCATGAGGCACTATGCCATGTTCGGACCTCCTGGGAGAGCGGGTTCTGTGACCCCCTCACTCTACTGTTGTAAACCCACCTCTGTTGACCTCAAACCACAGAGAAGATTTTGGCCAGCTGTGAATCGGGCATGTAAAGTTCCCCTGGAAAAAACTTTAAATAGTAAAATGGAACAAAATGAACACTATCTGAGAGATTCGGTTCTCTTAAAGCTTGTGTTTCTTTTTAGGGTGGTTATACTGCTCGATATCTCTGCGACCAATTCCATGTACATTATTCATATCCAGCACTCCCTGCGGCTCCTGCTGGAGGAGCAGCTGTCCAACAAGGATGCCTTCAACGTCATCGCGTACGCTCCCCCGGCTCCCGGTGGGGGGAGGTCTGGTGTGTGCGCCGCCACCACTGGGCTGAGGCTTCGGGCAGGTAGCTGGCCGCCAGATGTTACCAGCACCCAGCATCCTAGGATGGCCATCGGCTTATCTGAGCCCAATGATCTTGTTTGGGGCATTGAATAATTAATGGTTGCAGGACAGTCCCACTGGGGCGAAGGTGATAAGTGGCCCCAAAACACTCTGCTTGATCAGCCAGGATAAAGTAACTCCACCCACTGCCCCATTTGGCTTCCAAACTGGTAGACACACGAGAGAAAACGAAGGGCCCCCAGGCCTGCCCCCGTCTTCGTGCCTAGCTCAGGTCTACAGGACACGGTTTCATTTAGGATTCCAAGTCTCAATTTTAATTTTATGTGTAGCTATTTATGATTAAATTATCTAGGTTTTCATATATAATGGATATATTTATATGTAACAATATAATACATATTTAAGTTATATATTTTATATAAAATAATTACATATAAATTTAAATTTTAAATATTTTGTATATATGTTTATTTTTAGCTATATATAACTATATAAATTATATATAACTATCTATACCATGTATTTAAATTATATATTGTATATAGTTTAAGTATATACAGTTACATATAACCTAACTATATATAGTTTTGTACATATATATTTTTTTAATTGGGGAATTGGGGAAGGGGAACAGCCAAGTTGTTGTCCTTCAGTCTTAGTTGTGGAGGGCGCAGCTAGCTCAGCTCCAAGTCTATTCACTATCCGGCCACCTGTGGGCAGCTAGTGGCCACTCAGCTCAAGGTGCCGTGTTCATTCTTAGTTGTGGGTGGGCGTAGCCCATCAGTGGTAGCTCAGCTCAGGCGCAGCTCACTGGCCCATGTGGGAATCAAACCGGCAACCCTGTTGCTCAGAGTTTTTGTTCTTAACCAACTGAGCCACTCGGCCGGCCCATGTATATATTTTTTATTTGCATATCATTTCAACTAACTAGGGGAGAAAGAGAAAAGGAAACCGCTTGAACTATAACTATGTTTACATAACCCCACATCTAATAGGAAGTGTGCTAAACCTATTAAGTCAGCAGTTAATATTATAGATTATTCTGTACCAGAGCCTAATCTTTTCTTAATAAATTCTATAAAAATAAATGCTTAGAGAAACATTTTAGGCAGTGCTTTTCCATTCACCCATCCATCCATTCATCCGCTCGACAGACTTACTGAGAGCCTACCATGTACCAGTCACTGTACTAGGCGTTAGGGATACAGAAGTTAAAGCACAAAAGCTGTCCTCAAGGAACTTACAGTCTATTAGTGGGAGACAGGCATGTTTAGAAATAAATGTTTTCTGCAGAAATGGGTAGAAGGCAGGACATGGGGCTGTAAAGGATCAAAGGCAGGATCAGTCCATTCCACCTGGGCAGAAAGGGGTCAGGAAACCTTCGTGGAGGAAGCAACCCTTCAGCTGAGTTGTGATGATGGTAGGAGTTTACCTTGCACCTGGGAATGATAGGGCAGCGGGGAGAAAGGGCATTCCAGGTGCAAGGAACATCACGAGCAGAGGCACCGGGGGATGAACTTTGGGGGACCATTGGGTCAGTACAAGATGGGGTGAGAGGGAGAGACAGTGCATGACAAACAAAACAAAACAAAACAAACAGGTGATGGAGGTCGCAAGACATTGGCCGTGATGAAGTCAAGAGTTCAGGTGGCAGAATAAATTCAGAACCAAAGAGCGATCATCTTTTCTTTGATAAAGGGGCTCAGGCTTCTTCTCACGGATTTAAATTCTGTCCCATAGGAAAGATGAGATGATGCATTAGGAAAAAAAAACAAAACTGTGGGCAGAGTGAAAAATGTGCTGTAAGCATCAACCAGTCAACCAGTGCTAGGGGAGGTTAAAAAGGGAGAAGTGACTCCCTTGGGGGGATGGAGAGGTTCAGAGGGACAACAAGAGCCACTGTCAACACTTCAGGAGGAGATGTGGCCCGATCTGGTGCTGGCTGTGTCTGGACAGGGGGCCCCAGCTCTGCCCGCATGGCGGATGTACCGGGACAGACACATCAGGACCAGCAAGAAAATCTCATGGCTGGCCTGGGCTGGTGACACCCTATCATTTTGGGGCTGTAATCAGAATTTGCCTCCCTAAGAGCCTGGGGAGCTCAAAGCTGGGGCGCAGACTGGACCAATCTGCTGCCTAAGAACAGCTTTCTTTCCTTCCCTCCCAGGTTTGGAGGCACCATTGAAAGCTGGCAGCCCGAGATGGCTCCTGTGAGCCAGGACAACTTACAGAGCGCCTGGCGGTAGGTGACCGATGGGCAGAGGCTGCCCCTGCTGGGTCAGAGCAGCCTGGGTGGTGCTGTTTTCTCTGTTCCCTCCACCGGGAGTAGCTCTCTAGAATACCTGCCCTCTGGCAGGCATGGGCATGAATTGGAAAATTCCTTCGGCCCCTGCCTCTCCCTCTGGGCCTCGCTCCGCCCCCCTCAGCATGGCCTTCCCTACCTCCCAGGTGGGCCCTGAGCCTGCGCTGCTGGGGCAGCAGGAACGTCCTCAGTGCCCTGCGCAAGGCTGTGGAAGTGGACTTCAAGGACAAAGACAAACACCAATCACAGGGCATCTACCTCTTCACCGGGGGCGTTCCCGACCAGGACATGGTGGGTAGGCCGACCCCCCAGGCGTTGCCATCCTTCATTACCCCACACCTTCCCCTAGGTGGACGCCTGGCAACTGTTTCTCCAGTGTGATTTTCCAACCTCGGCTTTATTGTGCAGGAGAATCACCCGGGGGGCTGTTCAAATACAGATCCTGGTTCCCAGGGTCTGGCCTGGAGCCTGAGCTCTGCGACCCTGATGAGTTCCCAGGGGACCAGCGTGTAACACTTAGGGTATCCAGCTCCTCGGCCATACCCTATTAAGATAGAGAATTGAGACCCAGCTCACTCGGTTTCTATACTCAGTGCCGAATTCCAGCTCAGGCACACAGTAGGCCCTCAGGACAGATGGTCAGGTGCTGCCCTGAGCCCAGCAGCCTCAGGAGCCCTCCACTGCGGGCGCCTCCTGCCCGCTCTCTCCCCCCACAGCACGTGCTCAGCGCTTACGTGGCCGAGGCCTGTGGCGGCTGCGACCTCCAGCTGAACGTGTGTCTCTTCTACGCGGGCGAGCCCCAGATGGACACCATGCCCCCTGCCTGCTACGCCAGCCGCACCGACACGGCCGCTGCCTACAGAGAGGTCACCCGGGCTGCTGGTGGCCGCTTCCACTGGTTTGGAGACACAGGTGCGTGAGTGGTGGCTGGTTCCTCCTCCTCTTTCTTTCTACTTGTCTTCGGTACCAACATAGCTAGCTCCCTGTGCCACAGAGGTACTCCAGGAAAGTGGCATGTTCTCATACTCAGTACATATTCATTGCAGGGGGACGATGGTGATGCCTGCACAACAATGTAAATGTCCTTAAAGCCACTGAACCGTACACTTAAAAATGGTTAAAACAGTCAATTTTATGTTAGTGTATTTGACCACAATTTTTTTAAGTTAAAAAAAAGGAAAGTAAAACTGTTGTAAAATGCTTGAGATCGTCAGAGCTGGAAGGAGCCCTAAGGTCTCTTAGTTTAGTATTTCCCAAAAGGGGGAATGTTTACAACAGGTGGTTGGCAAGACAGTTGTGCACGGAACTCGGATCAACAGATTTTTTTTTATTGTGATAGTTGTAGGGGGTAAGAATGTGCCACCCTAGAACATGCCACTTGGGCATAAGAATTATTTTGAGCTGAAGACAACTGTAAAACAGCAGAAGCCAAAAAAGCTCTCTGCACCCCCCTTGCAGTTGCCTAAGAGCAGGACATACATTTACGTTTGTAAAGGGGTCTCCTCTCCTGTGCCAGGAGGAGGAGACTGGCTCTTACACTCTTAATCACGGGAGACAGCTTTAGACTCGCATCAGCCCAGAAGGTACCAAGAGGGATCTACAGAACAAACCTTACCAAAACAAGGATTATCTTCCATCATCCCCCTCCCCCACATTTACCTCCCACTGTTTGCTGCCTCTAAAAGCCTAGCCCCTTTCCTTGTCACTTCTACACGAATGCATTGTTCTTACGCTGTGTAAGCCCCAGTTCCACGCCTCAGTACGTTTCTCCTAAGGTGTGCCTGCTGCCTTCATTCAGAAACTGTTTTTCCCTTGTTCATCTGTCTTTTGTCAGTGTAACTTCCAAGGCCTCAGCCAGAGAATCGAGGAGGGAAAGTTTTTTTCCTCCCCTAAATAGTAGTTTTATTCTTGTTTTAACATTTCATTAAAAATGCGCTAGTTTTCCATTGTTGGCAGTGACATAACTTTTTTAAAGATATACTTTCTAAAGATGTTAACTAGACTTTTTTGTGGTGATCATTTCCCAATACAGTTGACCCTTGAACAAGGCAGGGAGGGGTTAGGGGCACCAAGTCCTCACACCTGTGCAGCTGAAAATCCACCTATAACTTTTGACTCCCCCAAAACTTAACTATTAATAGGCTACTGTTGACGGAAGCCTTACCAATAACATATATATTGTATAATACGTATTTTGTAAGTTATAGGTATTGTATACTGTATTCTTACAATAAAGTAAGCTAGAAGAAAGAAAATATTAAGAAAATCATAAGGAAGAGAAAAATATATTGACAGAATTTGTTGAAAAAAATATGTGTATAAATGGACCCATGCAATTCAAACCCATGTTGATCAAGGGTCAACTCTATATACAAATATCGAATCATTATGTATAATAGTACACCTAAAATTAATAGAATGTTATATGTCAGCAATAGCTCAATAATGTCTGTCTACTTTTAAGTAAATGAAAGTGAATTGATTAAAAATATAAATGAATCGTTTCAGTGATAAGCTGATAAGGCAAAGTTATGACGTGATGTAGGAGTGAGCGAGGCTTGGGACACACACACGAATGCATCCCAACCTCCTGATTTACAGATGAGGAAAGGATGCCCAGGAATATGAGATGCCTCTGGTTACAAAGTTAGTTCCAGCTGGGGCTGGAACTCTGGGGCCGTGTCCTAGCTTTTTCCATGAAAAGTGTTGGGCGTATACATTTAAGCTAGTATTGATGATCACTAATAGTACCAAACACTTACAGAACAATTATTTCATGCCAGACGTGGTTCTAAGCATTTTGCATATATTATGATTCATTCCTCACAGTAATCCTAAAGTGGGTTATTATTATCCCAGATAGGGAGGCTGAGACGCAGCCCAAAAAACACAGGGGCAGTAAGTGGTGGGGCCAGGATTTGAACCCAGGCAGGTCAACTTCAGAGTCTGTCTTCTTAGTCATACTGTAGTCACTACAGACATTAGCTACTTTATGGGTTTTTGTGCTTGGTAACATTAGCTACTTTAAATAATTCCACGTGGGTCTTTTTTTTTTTCACTGGAATAGCAGGATCTTTACTCTTAACCTCGTCTTCCTGTGAGTAAGAGCTTGTGGCTGGGTGCCCAGGGCGCTGGGGCCCAAGGCCAGCCCCACTGTTGGTAACCTCACTGTGTGGCAGGGGGCTGGCCAGCTCAGCCCGTTCAGACCCACCCTGCTCCTCCGGCTGGAGTCACCTCCTTACATCCCTGCTGTGCACAGACACTAGCCCGTATCTACACCCCTCCCCCACACTCACGATATGCTTTGTTTCCAGGCATTTATGAAAGTGATGACATCAATGCCATCATGTCTGAGATGGAAAAGGCTCTCAACTACTCCCAAAAGGTACACCTTGAGGGGTGGGACAGCTGACTGTACTGGCTTCTGTATTATTCCTGAGTCTGCCATACGAGTGCCATGAATGAGTTGGCTTAAGACAACAGATATTTGTTCTCTCACAGTTTCAAAGGCTAGAAGTCTGAAGTCAAGGTGTCAAAAGGGCCATGTTCCCTCTGAAGACTCTGGGTAGAGTCCCTTTCTAGCTTCTGGTGGCGACAGTGCTAAAGAAAAAAAAATGCACTGGATGCTTGTTAAAAATGGCAAGGAAGACTTTATTTAAGACTAGTACAATAGGGGAGAGAGAGTGACCTCAACTCCAAACACGCAAAGACAACTTGGACAGATGTATAGCCAATGAGCAGAGTGACAGGCTCACGGATGGAAAATTACTAAGAGAAACTCAATTAGTTTCCAAGGATAGGGGATTCTTATAGAAGGCAGGCCAAGGACCTAGACAGCAAGGCTGGGGATGAGGACCTTGATCACATATCAAGGGTGGGGGGATTCTCCCTGAACCAACTTAGCAGGAATCTTTGCTAACACTGGGTTTGGCAGCCAAAATTGAAGCCTAGTCAAGAAGAGGGCTCGGAGGAGCCGGACTAAGGTTTGGTCGAGGAGGGAGTCCTTGTCACTGGCAGTCTTTGCCGTTGCTTGGCTTGTGGCAGCACACCTCCACTCTGTCTCCATCTTCACATCGCTGTCCCCCCTCTGTGTGTGTCTGTGTCTCCTCTTCTCTTACGGGGATACCAATTGTATTAGATTAAGGGCCCACCTTTTTCAGTGTGGCCTCATTAACTGGCCTCTTAATTCCAAGGACAAAGACCCTATTTCTAAGTAAGGTCCCAGTCACAGGCTCCAGGGTTCAGACTTGACCGTCTTTTGGGTGACGTGGCTCATCCCACATCAGCTTCTCTCCGCATGTCCCGATCCACTGACCCCCAAGGCTTCAGACGCAACATGGGGGTTCCCTATAAGCCATTCGTTTTAGGGCTGTGTGTGCTGTACATTCTGGCCTCCTCTGAGTTCCTTAAACACATCAATCTCATTCCTAAATTCAGGGCCTTTGCACCTGCTATTTCCTCCGCCTGCTGTTCCTCCCCAGATCATCCATGGATTGCTCCTTACTATTCAGGACTTACTAAAATGTCACTTCCTCAGAGAAGGGAGTTGAGTAGTTCATGGTGAGATTGGAGACATGGAAAGGGGCCAGATCATGTGAGGAGCAAAGAGAAGGGAATTAAGGGAGTGGCCATGAGGACATTTAGGGACGAAGTGACCAGACTTGTGGCTGATCAAATGGATGGGTGAGGGAGACGAAGAAATCCCAGAGTCGTTCCCAGGTTCCTCACTGGGGGACCTGGTAGACCATTGACCAAGAGAGAGAGAATGGGGGGTGCAGGGAAGGTGGGTCTGGGACAAAGGTGAGTTTGTGGGGCCTGTCAGATAAGAAGTGGGTGTCCTTCAGGCAGGTGGAGATGATAAGGGCTGGGGCAGTCAGGCCATGGGGACGGACAGAGCAGGTAGGTGGTCATGGTCCAGATGGGGGAGGCGGGGGAGCCTGGGAAGCGGCCTCAGCCCGACTCATGATTACCACCATTTGCAGGACCACACATGGGAGCTCCTGAGAGGGTAGGGCCACATCTTCATGGTTTTTTCCTCTGTGGCTCCCCAAGATGTGCCTCAGCTGTCCTCTCTGAAAGGGCCCCTCTTTGTTGCTTATTTTAACCCCTTCTCCTTAGGTGCGTGTCAGGCCAGTTCCCTTGTCTGATAAACTCATTGGCGAGGTGTTAATGGGCAATGATGGGGTAACCCATCCTCCTGGGATGTTATTTACATTCAAATCTATCTCCTTTGGTTGAGAGTAACATGGAAGCCAGTATTGCACCACTGCCCCGCCCGCATCCCAGCCCCCCCCCCCCCCGAACTGACAGGTTTGTGTGGATGCCGCTTCCACAGCTGGAAGGAGCACTAGCTTTAGAACCAGATCCACCTGGGTGTGACTTGAAGGCCCTCTGTGTACTAGTAGCGTGGCCTTGGGCAAATCCCGTGAACTCACAGAGCTTTGGTTTCCTCATCTGTAAGAGGGGGATAAGGTAGCACTTGCCCAGCCAGCATAGTTGGCATAAGGGTTTGAGACGCCCAGTGCCTGGTGCATCCAGGTTCTCCATACATGGTACTTATTAATAAGACTGTTCCGCAGTGCTCTCTGCCTCAGGAGACATTCTAGGGGCAGAAAGGGGAGTCCGGGGGCCCTAGTGGACCCAGGGTGTGTATGTGTGTATCTGTGCCCTGCTTGGAGGCATGCTGGTGGGGTGCTGCTAACCCCACAATCTTTGTTCTGGGTATGTGTGTGTCTGTCCCCTACATGCTGGTGGGGTGCTGCTGACCTCCCCATCCTTGTTGCAGTGTGCCTTACTCATGTCCTCCCTGAAGAACCAGTCAAGAAAAAATCTGGAAAGCACAGTCCTCCCGAAAGAAAAGCCGAAGATGCTCAAGCAAAGAATTCAGCCTGAGAAGCTCTGTCCTTCCAAGCCCACGCCCCCCTCGGCCACCAGAATGGTTTGACTCCCACTCCCTAATAACACTCAGAGGATTTTGTTTCCACTTTGTCTCCTGGTCTTTCCTAGATCTGAAAGTGGCCTGGGCCAGGCCCGCAGGCCCTAGAGCCAGCAGGGGTTGGGGAGGGTCCTCAGTGGTGAGTGTCCCATGGGTGCCTCCAGCCCTGGCCTTCTCAGCTCTGGGGGTACCTGTGACCTCCCCTCGGCCACCTGTAGCTCTCCCTGGCTCTCCCAGCTTTGTTCCCTAGCCAGGTCCTAAGGCCCCGGTGCAATTGCCATCCCCCATGGCTGTTAGGGAAGGCAGAGGGCTTCCTGGAGGGTCACTCAGGGGCGGAAGAATGGGGGTGTTAGTGTATCTGATTGACTCTTGCCCCTGCTGCCCAGGCTTAGCAGGGGCCCTGTAGGAGCCGGAGGGTGGGGCTTAGCCCATTCTCGGCCTATCAGATCGGTCCTGCATTAAATACCCACCTCAGCAATCAGAGTGGCTTCTAGAGCTGTGACTGGGGAAGATCCCAGACTCCACAGCGCCTGTGAGCAGAAGAGGCAAAGAAAGAAATGTGTGAGCCCTTCAGCAGTTCACTAACTGACAGACCCTTGTGAACACGGCACGTTTCAGAAGCAGAAAACCTGTCCCAAACAGCGTGTAGCTTACTCATGTCCCTATAGGCAATGTCACCACTCAGAGAACTCTGCCAGGTTTCAGGAGTCCGGAGACGTCGCCCTCTCCCGCCTTCCCAAATTCTGAGGTGAAACCCCAGAAATCGAGGGTCTGCCTCTTAGTCCTTCTGGACTGCCTGAGCTGATTCAGGGTGAGGGGCTTAGGCCATGCCAAGGCCTCGAACGGGCCTCCTGAAAGCAGGGCCTAGGGCCCCTTGAGTGGCAGCAGCTCACCTGGAGGTCTCAGCTGGTCCAGGACCCTGGGGGACTAACTGTCACCACATTCCAGCTGTGCCCAGTAATGAAGGAACACCTTCCTTCAAACTGAGGTGCCCAGTAGGGCACAGTTACCTGGATGGTTGCCTGTCGTGCTGGAGGCCCAGAAATCTGCCCAGTAGGAAGAGGAGTGGGTAACTGGGGAAGAAATTCTAGAAAATACACACACACACGTGTACATTTTCACCTCAAAACCCAGAGTTCCCTCTGAATCTGTGTTAGGAGATGAGGCAAGCACATCTGAGGAACCTACTCCCTTAGGCTCCTCCCTGCAAAGGTTGCTAATGGACAGATTGAGGGTGGGAGGGCTGGGAGGACTGGGGTGTGCCTGCCACAGAGAACAGGCCGATGGGAAAGACCGTGTTTTCTAGAGTATTAGAGATGACCCTGACAGAGAGCGGAGTTCCCCCTTGAAAGCCCTGACGTGGCGTCCACCCACTGGCAAAGTGGGCATTCCACCAGGTGAGGCCTGGCTGCAGTGGGCAGTTGGGGGTGGGGTGGGCATGGCTGAGCCCTGTTAATAGTGATCATTAGGAAACCATCAGTGATCATGGGGGTTGATCATGTGCCAGCACCTCCTGCTAAGATTGTCCCATTTAAGGCTCATAACAATCAATTCTATGTGGCAGGTAACATGTCAGTTCTCCATTTCACTGATGAAGAAATTCAGGCTCAGAGCAGCTAAGAATAACGACCAGTCCAGTGGGTGGTAACAGGGGCATTGTATGTTTATGGAAGTCCTTAGCTCCGAGAACCTGAGACCACGCATCTTACTTCTGACATCACAGACGTAGTGGGGTGGTTCTGAGCAGAGTTCTGGAGTCAGCAGGGCTGTTCTTACGGAGGCGGAGTCCCACTTTCCTCCCCTGTAAACTGGAATCTGTGAGATAGAATGAGCCAGAGCATGGAGAGCTTTTACCTCAGCCAACAGGACAATGTCCTCTAGCTCTAGCTCGGCCAGGCAAAGAGGGAGCTGCGGCACGGAGGAGGAAGACCAACCTGAAGGACCCAGAGCCATCTCTCTCCCTGTTTTACACAGAGATAGGGAACAACGTGGGTAAGCTGGAGGATACCCAGATGTCTGCACAGCACCCCCCCACCCACCCCCCTTTGGGAACCGTCAGGTCAGCAGGCCCTGTGGGAAGGAGACCCCTCCAGCTGCCCCAGGGCAGGGGCGCCAGGCTGACCCTCACACCACTCGGGTCTCCCGGGTCAGGGAAATGGACATGCAAAGTCTTGTCACTGGCAAGAGAATGAGAAGGGTCAATGTTAAAGGGTCCCCAAGGTCCCTGGGGGCAGCACTCCCGCTCCGTCCACCAGGGGCAGTGTCCTGGGCTCTGAGGCTGACTGGGAAGGGAGTGGAGATGAGACCCCAGGCCGGCCCGCTGGTTGTACAGATCCCAGGAACCAGCCCCTGGGATGTGGAGGCCCCAGCACACTCACCCTGATCCACCTAACAGCTGCCCTTCCTTCCTCGCAGCAATTGCACATACGGAATTTTACAACTGACTTGATTGACCCAGAAATCGACCCGAAAAGGGTGCAGTGGGGGAAGGGAAAGGAAAGGGAGAGGGGCGCTCTTACTGTCTTTCTCCCAGGCTCGGTGTACAAGAAGTACCCACCACGAAGGGGCACAAGAAGGACCAGCTCTTCTGTTGAGTTGCCCAGAAAGGATACAGTCTGCTCAAGCCAAGAGGTATTAAGTCGTGGCCGTGCCCCCTGGGCAATAATTCCTCCCATCGACCGGTACTCCCAGGAGGGTGGACGTACATGGAAGTGAGGGAAAAAACCCTGCTTAGAATGACTGCTTAAAGTGGCAAATGGGAGAAGGATTAAGTATGCCTCAGTTCGAAACGTGGGTCCGCCACTTCCTAGCTGGGTGACCCTGGGCAAGTCCCTTAGCTGACAGTCAGCCTCAGTGTCCTTGTTTGTGAAATGAAGACACTGGTACCTATATAACAGGATTGATGACTGGTTGAAGTATATTTTGTGTCAGGTACTTAGTGGTGTCAGATCCTGTTGGTTTTAAGCAACAGGACTTGCCCTTGTTCATATCCGCATAGATGAACATCTTCCTTCCCACGGCCACTCAGGGAAGGTCTGAGCTTGGATCTGACTGCTCGGAGCCCGCCCATTCTTGAATCTCTCATTGGGACAAGGACACTGAAATTCTCCTAATTGGTTTCAAGTATGAACTTTAGACCAGCCAGGGTTTCCCCCCAAATTTTGTGGGAGAGGGTTGACATGGATATTGGGGAAATAGCAATGTCCACCAGGCCAGGGAGTAGCAGGTGCTTGATAAATTTTGTCCCCTGCTCCCCATTTTCTTGTGCATCTCGCCTCAGCTCCGGGGAAGGCGTCTGCATGGGATGGGTACTCTCAGTGAGGACTGAGGAACCCTGCATATCAAACAGGAGCTTTTAGTAGATGAGTCAGACAGTCATTCACTTAAAGCCCGAAGTACTCAACATAACAGTTCTTTCCTTTATTCTAAAGTGGGTAGCAAATTATGGGCTAAAAAAACTGAAGCTGGAGATCTCCAGACACATCGGTCCCAATTGCACTCATCAGAAGTCCGGACGGACGCCGGCGGCAGCCAAGGCCTGCAGCGTCCTCCCCAGCGTAGAGGTCAACGTGAGTCGGGATTTTGTCCCCTGATGCTTCTCAGCCACAGCTCAGGCTGATAACTCCATGTGAATGCATGCGCCGTGGCCTCTCTTCTTCCTGCTAAGTCCCCCCAGCGTGGGGGTGTGGTCAGGGAAGAGGAGATACAGAATCCCGTTGGAAGAAAAGTGAACCCCTTGGGGTGTCTGAGGCCACACTCTGGGGTTAGATGGGCTCACAGGAGTGAGAATCAGAAACAGTGGCTGGCGTCTCACCAGCAGGACCCCATCCCCCAGTACTGATGGTGGCTCTGAGGGGGGCCGGGAACAGGGGTGAAGGGGCTCTCTGTTTTCTGCTTTTGGGCTTATGTTTTCTCATTACTTTGACATTGGAGCAAGTATTGGGTTGTCGGAAAAGTCATGACGCATTTTTGCAACGAAAAACATAGAAAAAACACGTCATGACTTTTCCAACAACCCAATATATTAAGTACACAATGAAAATTAACCATGCTTTTTTAAAAAAAACCAAAACCCTGTTTTTCTCTCTTTGCCCTTTTATAACAACATGATCAACATGAGGGAAACCATAAAGCTAAAAATAGCCACCCAACTCAAAATTATCCACCAGAAAAATGTTGCAGGAGTTTTATTATGCAGTCTTCTCTCCACCTGAGGTCACGTTTTAGTTTGAAATATATGGCCCTCCCATCCTATCATTAAAGCGTTTTCTATTTTAGTTTAGGGAGACTGTATTTTTGTGTGTGTGGTTTCTTTTTTAATTAATTATTTTTTTCAGTTACAGTTGACATTCAATATTATATTAGTTTCAGGTGTACAGCATAGTGGTTAGACATTTATATATAATAATATATGCAGTGTAGAGATACTGTATTTTTTATTATCACAGTGACTGCATTTGCCACAAAACCATCATCCCAATTTCCCCAATTCCTTCCTAGAACTATACATCTAGAATAATAATAATAATAAAAGCTTTTAAACAAACAAACAAAAATATATGCTTAACAATATTTTGGAAATTGTGAACCACAATGGAGTAAACTATTTTAGGGGGTGAGGGGATATGAAGAAATAGCTGATGGGGGGAAATTTGCCTTCACTTGCCTCAATCCAGGGGATCGTGAGACACCTTCACTGGACGCCCAGGGAAATCGAAGCCTACATCACGTGCCTGCAGAAGGTGATGAGACGCTATGTCCAGAGGCTGCAGTGGCTGCTGTCTGGTGAGCCTGCTTGCTGCCCTGAAGGGTGGAGGGGCTTGAGCGGAAGTGGAAAGTCAACCCCAGGGACCCCAGGGTCAGTCCTTCCCGGGCACTCACAAATCGTCAGGTCAGGGATTAGGCCAAGGGTCATCCAGGTACAGCATGACTTCTGGGTTCAGAGGTCAGACAGGTGCTGGATGACAGAGGTGGAGCACGGACCAGGGAGCACCAGGGAGGACCCACGCCTGTCCAGGCCTGCTTTGCAGGACTGTCTCCCACACCTGCCTCCCTGGTATGACTGAGGGGCTGACCCTCGAGAGGCTCAATGTAGCAGAGAACTGGTCCGTGCAGGTAGAGATGGGAGGGGGTCCTGGCAGAGGACAAGCCCCCCATTCTTCTTTACAGAGAGCACCAAGGCCCTTCTGGGAGAGGCGAATGGACAGGGCTGGCTGAGGCGAGCCAGGCTCACATCCCAGAGCAGGGTGGGCTGGGGGTTAGGAAGTGGGCTGAGTACCAAGTCCAAGAGCCCGGCAGATAACTGGACCTGGACGGGAGGGAGTTCAGTTAGGTTCTGGGGCTGGAGGAAGAATGGGAGCTTTTTATAGGGATCCCTGCGTGGGTCCTCTGCCAGTTCACCCGGCCCAGCCATCTGCAGTAGAACCTGGTATACACAGGGTATGGCCATGACTGCCACTTTCCAAGGCCTCTGGAGGGCCAGTGGTTAGCGGTTACCTTAAAGCGTGGATCAGAGGGCCTAGCTATGAATCTCGGCTGTCCCTGCCAGCCTGGATGACCCTGGGCAAGTCACTGGCCCTCTCTCGTTCCATTGGGATAAAGCCCCAATCCTTTACCACCCTCTCCAGCTTTGTCTCTTGCCCCTCAAATACACCATGCTCTCCCCCTCCTCAGAGCCTTGTGCAGGCTGGTTCTTTCCTCACCTACCCGCTATGTGTCCTGCAGTCATAGCCCATCTGCTCCCCACCCCGCAGCCCTCTAATTGAGGTTCTCCCTGTTAGGTGCTCCTTTCACGCTGCCAGAACCCATGGCAGAGGTGTAACTGTTTATGTAACATCTGCCTGCCTTGCCCAGCTATAAGTTCCATGAGGACAGGGACCCTCTGTGACTCGTTGTGACACTTCGCACAGTGCTGGGCCCATAGTGGACGCTTTGTTGAGTTCTGTGGACCAATCAGTGGACCCTGTCCCTGTCCTTACCTCTGTCTTTTCTAGCCCCAAACAAATCTGTGATGCTCCCTAGTCCAATCACTTAACTTTCGGGATGAGGAAACTCAAGTCCAGGGCGGTTATAACCACTGTGCAAGTGCTCAGAGGCAAAGCCATGGCCGAAATCATGACCTCCCAAAGCCCAGACCACTGAGCAGCCCTGCCCTAGGACAGCTGACCCCTCCCACTGAACCACAAAGGCCATCTCATCCCCCAAGGGGTTGATAGCCGGCCAGTGGCCAGTCAGGTAACAGGGGTTGCCAGCCCCTGTGTTTGACAGCTACGGGGGCAAGGCACCAGGAGAAGCCACCCTCACTGGCCCTGCCCTGCCCACCCCCCTCGGAGCAGGGAGCCACAGGATGTTTGGTGCCATTTTGGAGAGGAGTGTGTGCATCCTGCTGGACACATCAGGGTCCATGGGCCCCCACCTGCAGGAGGTGAAGACAGAGCTGATCCTGCTGATTTGGGAGCAGCTTCGGAAGCGCTGTGACAGGCAGGTGGTGGTGGTAGGGGTAGGGGTGCTGGGAGAGCTCAGGAAGCTCAAAGGGGCAGGGTCTTTCAGGGGCTCTGGCCAAGGGCACTCCCTCCTCATAGTTCCAAAGACCAGGCAGTTTCTGGAGTCGCTAATGAATAGCTCACTTGAGCAGGAAAGAACCCTGCTTTTTTCTACAGAAGTAAAGCGGTTTTTAGGAACCTGCCTAAGGCCCAGCGACAGTCACAGGCAGAGCAAAGGAACCACCATATGGCCTCGAATCGTGGACTTGAGCTGAACTTGATTTTTTAAGGATGGGGGTGGGGGCGGCGGGTTGTTTGTTCTCTGTATTCAGAGGGTGGACCCTAAGCGAATAGCAGGAGACTGGCCCTAGGCTGGGACTCATTATTGCCTTGATATTAAAAAGAGGAACATTTATTGAGCACTTTACATGCATGATTTCATCTAATCCTCACAATACCCCTGTGAGATATTGTTGTTATTAGCCCCACTTTTCAGAAAAGGGAACGAAGGCATTGGGACTTAGGTCAAATAATTTGCCCGAGATCAGGTAACCAGTAAGTGCCTGAGGGGATATTTAAATCTACTACTGTCTACGTCCAGAATCTTCGCTGGGTACTTTCTCATTCTCAGGTGGTCCATGGCCATCTTCCTGAGGGTGCCTGGGGCTCCCTGTCGGGGTCTTCACTGATAGGCATGGGCAGTCCTCCTGGAGGTTGCGTCCCCCAAATGCAGTATGGACTGGCACGTTCTCACCACTCTCTCTCCCCCCTCCCCAGTTTTAACCTGATGAGCTTTGCAGAGGATCTGCAACCATGGCGGGACGCGCTGGTGGAGACCACAGACGCAGCATGTCAGGAGGCCATGCAGTGGGTGACCTGCCTGCACGCTGACGGGAGCACCTCAACTTTGCAAGCATTACTGGTAAGTTCCACCCCTGCGCACAACCCAGTAGCAAAACAGAAATGCCATCACCCCCTGCACATCATATACTTATACACATATACATATGCACATCATATACAGATACTGCACAGCGCTTTAGAATTTCCTAAGTGTGAAATCATTTGTGTGAAAAACCCAGTGAGAACAGGAGTTTCATTGTTCTCACTTTATAGATGAAGATGCAGAGGCTCAGAGAGGTTAAGTGACTTGTCTAGGAGTAACCAGCCAAGAAGCGGGCTGTGCTCTTTCTCCTAAACCCCGGCAGCTTCCTTGATCTGTGGTGGGCTGAAAGGGGAGCCTCTCAGTCTTAAAGGACGAGTCAGAGGGATCCAATGAGACACGTTTTCCCTGGAGACAACAGGCACTTGGTTTTTGCCCTTCCTGGTTAGCGCCTACCCCTCAGCCGGGCAACCTACACACTCTTTCAGAAAGCTTTCAGTTTTCACGATGTGGAAGGATTGTACCTCCTGACCGACGGGAAGCCAGACACAAGCTGCAGCCTTATTCTAAGTGAAGTTCAAAGACTCACGGAGGAACGAGATGTGAAAGTGCACACGATCTCCCTGAGCTGCTCTGGCAGGTGGGTCACGGGAATCGGGCCGAGGGTGTTCCGCTCCCACAGCTGCATGTCTGAGGGCCAGGCCTGAGGAACTCGCCCCACCTAGGCCCCACATCAGACCCTGGTCTCTCCAGGGTCCAGGTCCTGTGAGTCGGAAATTGGGAGGGTCTGGCAAGAACACCCCAGAGAGAAAGCCCCTCTCTTCACCCCTAGCTTACCCATCAGTGGGGCCCACACTCCCGACTGTCTGCAGCATGGAAACGAGTTTGCGCCCATTCCCACAGTCACATGCCTTATACTCTCCTTGATCTTTCTTAGGACCACATTTATGAATGAATATTTAGGGAGAAAAAGTTTAAAGTAGCATTGTTATGGTTATTTTTTATAAAGGATCAACGTAGAAAAACATGGGTTAGACGAGCGATATAAGTGCTTCACACACACAAAACAGTTAATGTTATTGGCAATAATGTGATTATTTAATATGTGATTATTTAGGTGCATCTTTTATTTCTCTGTCTAAACCATGATCTCCATAAAGGCCACACTGGGCCCCTGCCAGGCCTAACACATAGTAGACACTGAATAGATGTCCAGCTAGGGAATGGGGCTGGAGTGTGCTGGCCGTCAGCTTTCAGGGGATGCAGTCTAAATGGTGACGCTAACATGCTGAATCCGTCTCACACAGCAGCAGCCGCGCCACCGCCATAAACCGGCTGGGACAGTAGGCTTGGTGATGCTGACATGGCCTCAATGGCACAGAAACGCAGGTCCAAGCCCCAGAGTTCCCCGTGGGCCGGGGGCTCCGCAGGAGCTTGCCTGGCGGATCAGTGGTGCTGGCGCCAGCTCTCCGTTCTTCCCTCCAGGGCAGAGGCTAACTTCCTGAGAAACCTGGCCTCCCTCACCGGGGGGCGCTATCACTGCCCTGTGGATGAGGACACGCTCTTCCAAATTCACGGCCTGCTGACCAGGGGCTTCGTGGATGAAAAGGTGGGCTGTGGAGCTACTGATGTGGCTCAATAAAGTGCCCACAGATGTGCTTTTCTCCTCCCAACTGAAAAGGCGTCTGCTTCTCTTGTCTGACGAAAAGGGCTTGTGCTTCCAGCTCCTCTTCTAGGCTTACTCTCCTCCGGGTTGGGAGAGAAGCAGGGTTTGGGGGTGTTAGTTCATATTATTATGTATAATAGTAACATTATACATAATAATATTAATAGTGTTATTTTGCGTTATTATTTAATAATGCAACAGTTTGTATCATTGAGCACCACCAGTGTGCAGGTTCGTGGCTTTATAGAGGTGACCTCTGCGAGTGCCTCCCACCGTCCTACCCATTTAACAGAATAAACAGGCTCATGAAGGCTTGGAGTATACCTGAAATCAGAGTAAATGGTGACGCAAGAGCTCAGATGCCCGTGCTCTTAAGCTCTGTTCTTTAATTCCTGCATCTTTCCTTCTCCCTGTGTTAAATTCATTGAAACACAAGGAGTGAAATGATCTGTGAAGTAATAAATCTAGTAAAGCCGTAGGCTCCATCACACACGTGGGATAAGAGGAAAGCATCAGTGATCCTCTTCTGATCTGATGGAAAGATTATGAACGTATTTATACCTTTTAGGAATGTGCTGCTGTCAATTATAGCATTTCCAGGGCAACAAATGATCAAGTAAGACAACCAACCAGAATCCCAGATTTCTTTTTGGAGGTTAAGGACATTGCTGTCCCAGGACATGGTGTAGTTTTTGGAGTCAAGCACTTTGCATGATTTCTTTGTTCAAGTAACTGTTTTAGGGACAAATATGACAAATAATGCAGAGAACAGAATAAATAAAAGTAATGAATATTCATTCGTGTCCTGTTATGCAGGAAAACAAACTTGACAGTATCGTGAATGTTCTCAGTTTAATGCCTCAAATCAGATTCTTTGAATTGTTTCTAGATGTCGAACGGGGCCATCCACACTGTGCCTGCCCAGGAGAAGGGATGGTTCATCTCTCTCTCTCAGATTTTCTTGCTCACTTTAAGAACTTGTGCTTTCAAGGCTAGGCTCTGGAATTGCATTGGCTGACATAAGAAAAAAACAAGTCTGTGAAGTTCTGTTTCACTAGAAGAAATAGAGAAAGGGCTGAGAAGACTCTGCTGAGTAACAGTGAGATAAGGAGCACGTACCACTTCTGTCCTACTGACTTCAGGGAAGTCCAGAGACCATGGTTTTCCACTACCCCCTCCCCACACTGACTCTTCAACGTCCTATTTCAAAGGGTCCTGTTTGCAGATTGACTGCCATAACAGGTAGTGAGCTACCTGTAACTGGAAGCATGCAAGCTGAGGCCTCAAGATTTCCTGCACTGGGTGGGAAGCTGCATTTAATTAGCTCTAAAATTCTCCTCCTCAGATTTTGGATCTTCGGGTCCCATCGCAGTCATTTCATGGATCTAACTTCACACTCATTTCCCCTTTTCCAGGACCCCATGTTGCCGCCATTCGAAGGAGATGATTTAAGAAGATTGGCCCAGGAGATCACCAAGGCCAGAAGCTTCCTCTGGCAGGCCCAGTCATTCAGGTATGCCCTTCAAGCACCCCCTCTCCCCTGCCGCTTGGCTCCAGCCCACCCAGACCTGGACTCCATCAGGACAGGGCCTACCCTGGTCATGGCATCCTGCTTCTCCTTGCCAGGCCCACAAACCTGGGCGCCGGGGGACCATCTTCCTTTATCTCCTGTCCACTAGGTCCCAATTCCAGAAGAAAAGCAACGCAGACCGGAAGGTCACTCTTTTGTAGAGAGATCTTCTCAGGTAAGGGGGGATGCTCCCCACCTTTCGAGTGCCCACCAAGGGCCAGGCAGCATATTCTGTTTTGTGGACAGTAGCACCTATGGGAAGGGTTCCAAAATAAAGATTCCTCTGTACAGAAAGGCCATTCTACAAAGAACCGCTCGCTGAGCATCCAATGACCGAGGGCAAGGTGCCCTGGAAAGCTGTGACCCTCAGTCTCGGGCATCAGGACTCCCTGGAAGCTGAGGGAGGAAGGCCCTGCCTCTCAGGGTCTACGCTGGCATCCCTGCCCTGTCCCCCGGCCACCCTACATCTAGTCACGAGACTGTCACCCACTGGAAAGCCTTGCACCCAGCCCCCTGCTTAGAACCCTCTGCTTAGTGACTCCCGCTCATCTTTCAAGACACAGCTCAAATGGCATCAGCTCCACTGTGAAGACATCCCTGGGACCCTCCAGCCCTCCTCCTGGAGCATTCTGACCACACGTCCCTCTTTACAGAGGTGATACTTAGCACTTACCACAGTGAGCACTCCACGCCATGCTTCCTCTCTCCTTTATCAGCCCTCCCTGAGGATAAGGCTGGTATCTCCCCCGTCTCTGAGTCCCCGGAACCTGCCACATGGCAGATACCCCGTAAGCAGCAAGCATGCAGCTTAGTTGTGAGAGCCCAGCTCTGAAAACCAGAGGCCAGATTCTGGCCCCTCGCTCTGTGCTCCTCACCACCCTGGACCATGGGGGCAAGCGCAGATTCACCATCAGCCCATCCTGGAGGAAGACGAAACGTGAGCCTGCCCGCCACCCCCACCCCTGCTCAACCAAACTGAACAGGTCGGCTTTGGAGCCCAGTCCAGAGAGAGTGCTCTGCTCACACATGTGGGAATCAGACGGGGCCTCTGGCCAGCCCCACCGTGTACATCTGTCAGAAATTATGTGACCTGGAGTCACTTTCTAACAGAAAGAATTGCTTTTATGTAGCTAATACGAGTAGGATCAAAAATACTTTTAAACTGAAGTCATTATTGGTACACGTGTGTATACATTTTTGGTGAGCTAAGACTTTATTAAAAGACTCATTCAAAATATATGAAGAACTCCATATCAGTAAGAAAAAGATAAACATCCCAATTTTTAAAAACGGACAGAAGACTCAAACAGGCACAAATGGACAATAGGTATATGAAATTATACTCAACAGCTTTATGCATCAGTGAAACGCAAATTAAAACCACAATGACATATCACTACACACCCACCAGAGTGGCTAAAAATCAAAAGACTGACAATATCAAGATGCGAGGCAGTTGGAACTCTTACCCATAGAGCTGCGGAGTGGCAGGGGGCGGAGTGTGAATTGGTTTTAACCACTTTGGAAAACTGTGGCGATTTCTACTAAAGTCAAATGCCAGCAGTTCTACTCCAAGAGAAACGAGGGCATATGTTTGACAAAAGATATTCAAGAATGTGTATAGCAGCTTTATGCATAAGAGCCCACAACCTAAACGTCCATCGATGGTAGAACGGACAACTGTGATACATTCGTACAGTGGAATGTACGAATGAGTTGAGAAAGAATGAACTACAGCTATTCTCAACCAGACGCATCAATCTTACAAATAATATTGGGCAAAAGAAATGACGCGAAAGAGCCCATACTGTGCAATTCCATTTATTTGAAATCAAGAACAGGCAAAACTATTGTTGGCAGTAGAAGTCAGGTTTCCCTGTGTGTGTGTTGGGTGGCGGGGGGACAGACCGGGGGCCCCTGGCCTGCTGGAAGTGTTCTAGCTTTTGATCTGTGTGGTGGTTACACTGATGTATATATAAGTAAAATTTCATCAAGTTGTTAACAACACAGTTTACTAAGGCTGGACAAGCGCTGGCTTGGGCCAGGCTTCGTACTGGGCCCACGGGGACGGCAGTGATCAGTCTCTGACACAGTCTGGTCACTGTCTGGACAGCTGCCCTCTGCGTCACCTCTACTCACACACAGAAAATGGCCTGTGGTGGTTTCACTTGGCTGGACCTGTCATAACAAAATACCGTCGCCAGTTCTGGAGGCTGGAAGTCTACGACCAGCAGGGCCGTGCTCCCTTTGCAGGCACCGGGAAGGGTCTTTTCCAGGCCTCCCTCCCGGCTTCTCGCGATTCCTTGGCCTGTGGCAGCAGAACTCGTCTTCACATGATGTTCGCTCCCTGTGCGCACCGTCTGTCCAAGTGTCCCCGTTTGGTGAGGACACTGGTCATGCCGATCCGGGCCCATCCATAGTATGACCTCACCTTTAGTTACATCTGCAGTGGCTCTACTTCCAACTAAGGTTTCGATCTGAGGTTTTGGGGGTTAGGATTTCAACATAGGAATGGGGGGCACAGTTGAACCCCCACCCCTTGCGTTATAAACTACGCTTCTAGCAGGACCCCACCAGGCAGCCGGGCCTGGAAGACATGAGTCCTCTGGCCTGGCTGGTAGGAGAGGAGGAAGCTGTCGGTCGTGAATAGAATGGTGGGACCAGAGATGTGCTTTGTGAAGCACAGGACCTGGCTTTGAACCCCAGCCTCCCTTATCATGAGGATAACAGCGCCCACTGGTTAAGCACCGCCTGGGCAGGCACCATGCTCAGCATTTCGCATATACCTTCTTAGTCCCAAGCCTCACAACATCTCAGCTGTAAAGCTGACGCCAGCTCCAGTCTGTGGATGAGGCAAGCGGGGTGGCGGCCCAAAGACAAACAGCAAGAAAGCAGCAGGGCCAAGACGGAAACTCGGGGCCAGCCTCAGGGCCTTCTCCCACGGCACTCGGAGCCCCTTTTCGTCTCTCTGAACGCGTTTCCCTGTCTCTAAATTGAGCTAAAGCAGAGTTGTAAGGACCAAGCAAGATACCTTACCACCTGGCACATAGCACGTGCTGGCTAAGATTTTGTTTTTCTCGTCCCCACACCCCGCTGTGCCCACAGAGGGTGTTCACATGGGCGAAGCCTTCCCTGCAGCCCTCTCCAGACCACAGTGACCAGGCTCGGGGCACAGTTCCCAGGGCTCCTACTCTAGCAGCCGTGCGAGTTGCCGGGCACATGTTGCCCCTCCGCGACTGCCACTTACAGATGAGTTTTCTGGGGATGCTGTGATCCATCTGGGTCCCCAGTGCAAGGGAAAGTCCGGCACTCAAGAAGCATCCTTAAGCATGGAATGATGGCGTTGGAGAATGGGTGAACCCAGAGGTGGGTGGAAGAATGCAAGAAAGGAAGGGTAGGGAGGGAGGGAGGTGGGAGGGAGGGAGGAAAGAAAGCTACACGGAACGAATTGGATGGATGGAAGGTTTTATGGATAAGTGGAAAGAGTAAGGGACAGATGGGTAAACGAAGCAATGAATGGACCAAAAAAGCATGGGGAGGGGGCGGAAATGGAGGGAAGAATGGATGAATACATAAAGGGATGGAAGGATGAATGGGATGATGAATAGATGCAAGCAGGCGGGAGGCAAGGCTGGACAGAGAGGAATGGGTGAGAGACTCGATGGGGTTCTGGGACGACTGGCGGCAGGACAGGGCCCCGCACGCAGCGCCTGTGCGTCCTTTCCCCACCAGCAGCACGACCCGTTTCACCCCATCGACCAGCCTCAGTTTCCCCGCAGTGAGAGCCTGCGGGTCCCCGCCTTGGAGAACGCGGGTGCTCCTGCGGAGGGAGCCGGCAGGGATGGAGGGAAGAGGCGCAGGGGGGGCGGTCCTGGAGCCCAGCCTGGCCCCGCCCCAGGAGGTGGCCGCCGGCAGCGCCCAGGCTCGGCGGGCGGGAGACGCGCGGGCGGGCGCAGCGCCGGGAGCACGAGCGCCGCTGGAGCCGGGGCCAGGTGAGCACGGTGGGGCGCGGGTCGCGGACACAGGCGGAGTCGGTGAGGGGGCTAAGGGGGGAGGGGAGGACCCGCCCTGAGCTGCGGGGCACCCGCTAACCCCGCCCGAGAGGACGATGTCCCCGGGATCGGTCCCGACGCCCGTTCACCAAACCCTACTTTGGAGTCACTATTGACCTGGATCCAGGCCTAGCCGTTTGCTGTGACTCCATCAGAGTTCGCAGATGTCCTCTGAGCCTCAGTTTCCATCCCTGGACACTGAGAACAGCAGCCTGTACTCCCCAGAACCGCCAGGAGAATTACATGCGGCAGTGTCAGCGGTCCGCTTGGTCACAGCGCTTGCTCCCAGAGCGGCCCTGAGCGGTCTCCTTCAGTCCGCAGCTGTTCCTGAAGGCGGGCTCTGAGCGCCACACAGCTCTAGGTGCTGGGGGTACTTTGGGGGACAGGGCCCTCCTGGAGCCTGGTTCCGGTGGGTTGCCCAGCGCGTTGCCAGCTGTACTCTCTCCATCACCCTGTGAGGTCCAGGGCGCAGCCTGGCTTATTTGGGTCCATTTACAGCTGCGGTACTGAGGTGCGGTGAAGTTTTAAGGGTCTTGCCTAAGGGCGCACCCAGCAAATGGGTGCCCGCGAGGCAGTATCCCAGCCTTTGTCACGAAAACCATCCCTGCAGGCTAGCAAGACTGCTCTGGTCCCTCAGAACAGTCCCCTGCGCCTGGGTAGGGGTGGGCCCCATGCTGAGGCTGTACCCTCTCCCCTGTCTCTGTGGGAATTAGACTCATCTGCTGTGATGACTCAGATTTGGGGTGTCCTTCCTCCCACTCTTAAACCCATGAGTACCAGAGCTTGTACGGGACGTGACTGCATTCCTCACTCAGAGCTTCTGAGAGCAGGGCAGTGACAGGAGACAGAAAGATCCAGCCCTGCAGCTGTTAGTGTTCCTGCCCAGTGGCCACCACTAGCAACAACCGTGGGGCCGAGAACCCAGTGAAACTGTGTGCCATGCAGGGCAGAGACTTACCTAGCTCAGTATCGACGGGGCCTGGCCCGCAGCGGGTCCATAGTACATAGGTGCTGCTGTTAATGGTGATGATGGTGTCTGGCCCCTGGTCCAGCTTCATTCTCAGGTGCAGCAGGAAGTAGGGGGCGGGACGACGATGGTGACAGTGACTGACAGCCCAGCTCATTTTAAGTCTAGAGTGGGGAGGACAGGATTCTCATTGCTGGTCCCCGACCCACAGACCTGACCCTGAAGCCCTTGGCAGGCTTGGGCAGACCCTGGGTGTCAGCCACCTGTGCTGTGGGGGACGTGGGAGAGCCAGAGACAGCAATGGGCAGGGCAGGGCAGTGCAGCGTTTGGAGGTGTGTGCAAGTTTCCAGTGCACAGAGCCCTTTTGGGTCCCAGGCGCACCCCTCCCCTTCTCCTCTTCCTTCAGGAAGCCCTCCCATCCCCCCAGTCCAAAAGCAGTCACGCCCGACCTGGCGAGGTTCCCCTTGACATGGTTTGCTTCGTCTTCCTCTGGTACTGCATGGGAACTGGGGTTTTAAGGAACTGGTAGAGGAGTCGGAAAGGCTTGGCGTACGTCTCAGCCTTGCAGCGTGACTTTGGGCCTCGGTTACCCCAGGTGTAAAATCCAAGGCCTGACTGCCTTGTCGTTGACGCTCTTTGAGGAAGGCAACAGCCACCTTGGAAGTTTTCGAGATTCTGAAAGGGACAAGTTCACTGGGAACCCAGAGGGTCTCTAATTCCCACCAGCAGTTCCCCTCAGCCCCTAGGGACCTGATAATCCATGTGACTGAGACAGCTCTAGAACATACATTCTTCCATTTTTCCCAACAGGTGGACAGATCCTCCGTCCACATGGCTCAGTAGAGAATGAAGCCCAATCCAGCAGGCTCCTCCCCAGAGGCCTGCAAAGCTGCAAGCCAGGGCGAGAAGAGCTGCCCTGTGTGCCAGGCCTGGGGAGGGGTGTCAGGCCTAGGGTCTGAGCCAGGGCCTGGTGCTGCTTCGGGACCTGGGCCAAGGCCTGGTGCTGTGGCTGGACCTGGGCTGGGGCCTGGTACTATGGCTGGACCAGGGCCAGAGCCTGGTGCTGTGGCTGGACCTAAGCCGGGGCCTGGTGCCACTTCGGGACCTGGGCCAGGGCCTGGTGCTGCTTCAGGACCTAAGCCGGGGCCTGGCACTGTGGGACCTGG